TACCCGTATCCAGTACCCGGGATGTGTAACCTTTCAATAACCTCCGGTGCCTGAGTCGCCTACGGTACCTTGCCCGGTCCTTTCCAGTGACCCGGGTGTTTTGAAAGGGTTCTCAAGCCAATCCTCCATAACAGGTCTTACCGCCGCAATCTAAGTAAAAAAGGTTTTTGAGCCATGATTTGGGCTACCTCGACTAGACTATGCGCACTTCCCTCAATATACATAAGACTTAGGTCATGTTTTTCACAAGTTCACAAAACTATGAAATCCACTTAGAATCTTTATTGATGATATTGATGCTAGATGCACGAGACCAATGCAGGCACTATCCGCCCCTGACCTTACTCCTAATACATTTTTATATCTTTAAAACTTATAAAAGTTCATAGACCAGATAAATTGTATTTGAAATTTGTAAATGTAATAATAAGTAGGCAATTAATTTCAATTATTTTGCCATTACATAGACTGATAAAGCTTAAGCTGTCGCGGGTATAAAAATATGTTTTTCCTCATATTTCCTATTAATTACCAGTGAACTGATACAAATGAAATTTACAAGAAAATAAAAGTTTTGTATACAACAAATGTATACAATAAAACACATTTTTTGGGAATGAAATCATTCACTGTATTTTTCCATTAGTATTTATTTCTGAATTATTTATTTTCGGCATTATGTTACAATTATTGATAACTGAGAATGTACCTCAACGTATGGTTTAGGCAAAGGCATATTTACCCACATATTTACGGTCCATTGTCTATGTCTGATATCCAATACGCATGATAGTAAGTGTGACATTGTGTCGTGGTCACTGCTACCCTCGTATAACGTATAGTATCACAGTTCATTCAAATGGCCATTTGCTTTTTAAATTTATTGGGGCAGCATTCAGCCGGCCGTATTTTAGCACTGTTAAAACAAAAAAATACAAGTTTTCTGACGAAATAGGAAAAATACCTAATAAGGGAGTTTTACTGAGGAAAAATGTACTTTATTTCGGTATTTTGATAATTTATGTCGATTTGAAAATTCATGTACGTATTCGAATTTAATTCTTAATCAATTGCTTTTACGATAGGACAAAATGGAATATGCTAATCCAACAATGTTGTCGAAACACATCGATTGTTTAATTTTATTCTACTTATACTAAGCCTTAATAAACAACACACCTTAATCTTCCCCATGAATCATCCTGTTCGTTGTAAGCCGCATGAAAAGCAGTTCTTTAGTTTGTCAGTATATCGGGTTCAGATAGATTTACACATACGTCATTTTTTCGAGTCTTTTGTGAACTTCATATAAAAAATAATTGTTTTTATGTTGGACTTCACATAAGAACTCGTCGTGTCTTTTATCTCATGAACATATTCATTCATTGTTAGATAATTGCTTCCTCTCTAAATATTATAATGTAAACATCCGCGCTTATCTCTGTTGTCCAGGCTTCAAGGCTCAAGGCTACACATACATGGACGGGGTGAAATGATTTTAAACTATTTTTCAAGAGACGAGTGCTTTTCTGGGTTAAATATATTTTATTTCGATTGTAAACCTTTTTAGCATAAGTTTTAAGTCTTTACCAAACTTTTAAACTCAGTATTTATCGCGTAGAGTTTTAGTTAAATGATAAAATTGAATCAAATTGAAATAAATATCATTTGGTTAATTATTTAGAATGTCAAGATAAATAGTAATTAACTAATTATTATTAAAGAGAAAAGTTCTTACGTTCAATGTTGTTTGGCTTGTCTTCCTTGCTGAAGTAAAACAATAACAACGGTTTCTTGTGTGTTCTCCTAGTTTCACTTACTTTCATTGCGGTCTGTGACGTGACACTCGGAGCGGGCGAGCGTGCTGTGGAGTTGGGTGCCTATGTACATAATTGTGTGGTGTTTTATTACAAGTACCCCTATATAAAAAGTGGATATCACACGGTCTATAAACTAAAATGTAATAATAGTTACTGCAATAATAACAATATAACTTAAAATTAAATTAGTCTTTATGTCTTGTCTAGAAATGATTACTAAAATTGTTTGTCGTTTACGCATTCAATCCATTGAGCTTACGTGTTCTTTCAAGATTTTTATGCATCGATCTAACAAACTGTAGAGCTCATGATCTGTTGAAATCTAGTTATTCCAGGTGATGATTGAGATAAAATAATATTTTATGATAAAGAGATTCGACTTTGAACACAAGGATCACCATAATATAGTACTTAATGCGTATAGTATATATTATGATGATCATGAAACGTCAACGTCCCTTCTATTCCTAGTAGGCGCGTTCACTTGCGCTTTCTTTACAATACAAGCAAGCAAAATAAAGACTATGTTGTCTTAAGTCACTCTTTAAAAATACGTTTTTAATATTAATAGACCTATCAGTCTTTACCGTTATATATATTTTCAAGATAACAAAGGATTATAATAACAAACAACAGTTTGACTAGACAAAAATGGCCTCTTTCTGAGCTAAAGGCTGGATCCGCCCGATCCTAGGTTATGAATCTTGTCACTTTTGTACTTGTTTGTTCTTTACGGTTAACCACTTCATCTCGGTGGTTATTCTCTGTTGCCATGACTAGTATGTATTGTATGAAATGTAGAGGCTTACAATATTGACGATGATGGGGTAGAAAGGACACTAATAGAAACTTGTCTCATGTGTAATAGAACCTGCAACAGTCATCAACACGTACAATCAACTCTTTATAACAATTCAAACTATTTAAAATATTTCAAATTTCGTTTAATATCATATCGCTACAATTTGTGCTCTTTTATCAGACGTGGACCAAAATTAACAAAATTCCGCTTTGTTTGTGTGTCATGCGGCTGATCAATATTGTCAGTAATGGCAGCATACGATCACATAGGTACTTACATTTAAACCTTACACACTGTAAAGACGCACTTAATGGCTGATGTTTGAGTAACAATGTTGACTCAATCAGTCTATTACTACTAATATTGCAAATTGTGCGTTAAAACTTGTGTTGTGAGTCGTCATACTTTTACTTAAGAACAGTTCACTCCTATTGTGTCAGTCATGTATTACCACTTAAATAGAAATCTATATATATATGAAAATATTGAGTTGGTTCCTGTACTTAGGGCATACTGAAAGTTTCTGGATTCTGAAAAATAAGATTAGATATAAGACTTAATATACATTTATTGTTTTTTAAAGTATATTCCCTTGCAATAAATGCATTTTTGCATTCGCTGAAACCACTGTACAAAGCAGTTGGTCTTCCTTAGGGACCTCTTTAATGGCTTCATGGAACGTTTTCGGCGCTGATTCAGGGCTCGTAAAACGTATGCCTCTAAGTTTGTCTTTAATTTTTGGAAACAAAAAGAAGTCGCATGATGCGAGGGTCGGGCTGTAGGGCGTATGCGTCATCAATTCCTCATTTGAATCCTTCAAATAGGCTTCTGTTACCTTAGCAGATTGTGAGGATGAGTTATCGTGGTAAAGGAGGACATTGCTTCGAGGACGCTTGTCGCGAACATTTTCTAAGACTGGGCACGCAGGTGTTGACATACCAATCTGCAGTCACTGTCCTTTTATCTTCAAGCGATACTGTAGTGTAATGTCCTGATTTGCCGAAAAAAGAAGAAACCATTTTTTTACCAATGCTTTTCTTAATTTTCGTCGGCAAATCTCCAAAAGGAAAGACCCACTCTGCCGACTGGCTTTTTTATTTCGGATTCAAAGCAGTACACCCAGGTTTCATCACCTGTCACGATATTATAGACAGCCAATGACTGTCCTCCGTTAAACTTTTTTATCATTTTACGGCACCACTAGACACGCAGTCATGCGGTATCCATGGAGTGCAAAGCTTCCGAACCTGCAGATGTACATGTCGAATGTTTTGCACTTGGTTCATTCCAATACCTAACAAAGCACGAATTTACTGGCAAGTAATTTTTGGTCAGTTTCAATAAGTGTCGGTGTACGGTGTCAAAATTAGAGTCTGTAACCGCAGTCGCCGGCCGACCTTCACGTACCTCGTCATGGAGATGATCACGTCCACGTCTAAATTCTCCAAACCAATACACAGCTGCGACATACATGGTGCTTCATCACCAAATGCCAATTGAAGTCCCTGGCAACTCTCTTGTGGACTAAACCCACAACGAAAATCTTAAAAAATCATTGAACGAAAATGTTCACAAGTTAAATTCATTTTGATAGCGACACACAATTTTTCGAAATGAAGTCACCATGAAAAAATAAATGACAGTCGCGTAAATTAATAAGTATAAGTATGTTTCCAAAGAATTCTATAATTGTTTTTTCATGCTTTTATTGTAAGTGGCCAGAAAAATACAGTATGCCCCACGTACGCTTCAAAGACGAAAATAGTTCTGCACCGTCATCCAGTCAGCCACCGTTAGCCACCATCCAGTCACCGTCAGCCACCATCGGTAGCTCGGTGGTCGGCTCAAATTTTGACACGTTATAACCCACTTTAAAGGTTTTTATCTATTTTTACAGCTTGTAAATTATAATTTGCTGATTTTCTCTACTGCACTCAGCGTAAACGTGGACCTTTATTAACGAATAACATAGTAAACGTATATAATACTTCTCTAAACAAATAATATAGGCACCTTATTGTTAATTGAGATCAGCTGCGGCAGTCACGCATAGATTGTTTACTCGCGCTTCACCTTCGTATTCTAAAAATGAACTAACTAACTTGAACTAACAGTAAGTTGCACAAAGACCGGATAGTAGCCGAAAAAATCTGTCCAGTGTGTAAAGACATATTTAATTCCATCTAGAGTTACCTGTTGTATTGTTTAATTTTTTTTGTATTCATTCATTTTCAGGTAAAGGAGTTCAAACCTGAAAACTAACAATAATCGTAGTAAGTGTTCAGAAGCAAATTTGAATGCCTATTGTGACGTAAAGACGGGAAAACAAAAGATTTGTTATGGATATACGGTGTAATATTGCGTGAGCCGAAGTCGAGATGTGGTCAGCGATTGGCGTGTTATTTGTGCTGGTAGGCGCAAGTTCTGCGCTGCTAGAAGGTTCAAATGTCTGCACTAGACAAGAAGCGTAAGTTATTTTGTTATTATACTGCATATGTATGTGTTTGTTGTTTTTAAAGTTACACCATAAATTCTGGTATAAACATAATTTTTCACGCCCGATACTAGCTTTTGCATCTTGTTACTTTTGTACTTGTTTATACCTTGAGGTTAGCCCCTTTATCTTGGTACATTTATACAAAAATTTATCATTCTATAACTAGTATATATTGTAGACAAATACTTTCATTTTTCTTAACAGTAGACACTTGCAACATATGTATAAATGTATACGCCTACAATATTTTCTATAATAAAATAGAAAGAACACTAAAATTTTGCCATTACTCGTTAAATTTAACAAATAATAGGTCAACAAGAAGGGCATCAATAAACTGCCAATGCGTTGGCAAAGATGCGTCGATTGCATGGGTGATTACTTCGAATAACAGAAATAAAAAAGTTTGAAAAAATAAGTACTTTCACTTATTGCATACAAAACGGCAATTTCATAGGTAAAGACCTAATATAAATTTGTCTAATGTGTAATGGAACCTGCAACACTCATCAACACACACAAACTACCTACAGTTATAATTAACGAAGAAATTATTTAAAACATTTTAAATTTCATTTAATAGCATGCCGCTGCATTTTGTGCTCTTTTACCAGATGTGGAATGGTCATCATAGATTCTGGTATAAACATAATTTTTCACATTGGATTTTACTGTAAAACGACAAGTTTTACAGTAAAATCCAATGTTAAAAATTATGTTTATACCAGAATCTAGTCGTATCATTCAACTGATTTTCATGAAGTTTTGCATAGACAGATAAGGACAAAGGGTACGTATATCTAAAAAAACGACTATTCGCGGGGTATAGATGGAGAATACTTATCTACAGTCTAGGCGGGTCCATCTTAAGATATCTTCATGTTTTGTCAATGTCGGGTGCCCAATGATTTTTAAGATTTTCTTCTTTTTAGTGATCATGATAAGAATAACCATGCTAAGTAAAATATACGGACTTTCAAACCGAAGAATTAATGCTTTGTTACCCATCACGGTCATATTGAACTTTATCGTGTTTGTTCCGTAGCGAATGATATTGTATGTTGAACTTGTAATTGTTCTTATCATAACTAAATACGACTCTTAGAAATGGTTAGTCATAGTAATAGAGTTATTGAGTATTGTATGATGTAATAAATATCTATATGCGCTTAAATTATTTGATAATGTTGTTTATATTAAATTAGCATATAACTGCTGATACTTTTGTTATCTGTAATGATATTTTAGAGATACAGAAATTAGATCTTTATAATCATTTTTTATTACACGCTTTTTATTATGTTGACCTCATACAATGTAACGGAATCGTTCAAGCCAGTTTTTATCAAGTTTATAACTTATTGCTTTCGATTTGCTTTACTGACTATACACACGTAGATAATAAATCAAAATAAAAAAAAATGAAGAAGTTTTTGTTGTATTCGTATCAAATATATTAAATAATAATCAACAAAAATTTATTAAAAAATAACCTTATTTGTATTTACCTTGTATTGACGTACACTCTCTATTAGACTGAGTTGCTATTTATTAAAATGTGTTATAAGTATGCCAGCTGTTATATTATTCATTTATATTTGTATGTTTATATTATTTGTTTTTTTATACATATTTGCAATTTTAATAATTTAAAGCAAGAGTGCACACAAGAGTGAGACCATCAAGTCGTAAATGTAGTAAATACTAAATCTTTGTCCTGGACATCACAGGCAAGTAGATATGTCCTGTAATGTAAGATGTTCACAAAAAAAAACCGCGGTAGTTATGTTGAATTTCGAATTACATAAAGACATATATGTAGGGTATTTTATTATCACACCTTTATAATGATAAGTGAGTACTGCCGCCTACAATTCTAGAGTCACAAGTGTATACCGCCCTTTGAGTCCCCCAGAAATAGGGGAGGAGGTTTTTTGGCGACGCATGGCTCTCCCACGTAATACCATCGTCTGATCTGTATATATAGGTCTGAAGTCTCTTAGCTTACATTGTGTGTGTGCAATGATTTGATAACCAAAAAATTATCTTACGCTTTCTAAAAGTTAAGCGCTTTAAATTGCTTACACCTCTAATATACGAACATGGTTGTTAGACAATTCTTCTAGTCCAAAGTGATAACTGAAAAACATAAAAACATTTCACGAGAATTCTCTTTATGCAAACACACTTTTGACATTCAGTGAGGCATCACCCTTCATTTTAGCTCGTAAAAATCTACGAGGAAGTCTGGAATGGAGGACTTTCATATACTTTCTTCGTTATATGACTTGTATAAGTGATAGTAGATTATACCTATTGGTTTATCATTATTCATTCAAGTCCTCATAGTGAAGGCAATGATTCACTGCAGATTCTTAGTACTTGTGTCACAGACAAAGCGAGCATATGGTCAATAATTACTTACGGATGTAAACGTTTACTGCGCGAAAAGATAAAATATGCACACTATTTAAACGTTTAACACGTTTAGCTTAACAAATCACGTCACTATATGTAAGTGAATTTGAATACTTACCTAAAATATTCAGTTAAGATAAAGAAATTAAATCAATTAACAACCGACATAAGAGAACTATTTGGTTGTAATAAAACCATTTAGTGTTTTCTTTACCTATACGCCTTACCTTTTTTTTAATACCAACAATAAAACTAACCGACACGGATGACACAAAACACGAGCGCTACAAAAATGACATAGTAAAACAGCACCATAACAGAGAGCACCAAAGTTTCTCAGTTACGCCATGTAACTTCTAAAAATAGGTAGGTAGGTACATAATAATATCCGGGTTTTTAATCGTACAAAATTAGGGCTTTCTGTGATACATACTCTCAGCATAGTATCATATATATCAGATGCGTCATAAGACATAATGCTCTACAGTTATCAACAAGGCAGATTTGACGTAGATGACGCATCCGTCCACTAACACACTACATCGAATATACATTGCGTAAATACTAATTGTTGGGATACCAGTCTTTTCAGTTGATTCTTTTAGTTTTGGAACATTTACTAGATTAGACAAAGGACTGAAGTTAGAATAGAAATAACATAATACTAAACTCATGTAATAATTCTCAAGACGAAAATCTGAACATTTAATATTGTATTGTATAATATTATAGTAATACTTAACCTATGAAGTTGGAGATTTTTAAAACCAGCATTTTTAAATTTAATTATCCGTGGATTGGCGCGAAATTCATGGATAAACTGAAAATTTTTGAATATGAGTTCCTACGTGGAAATACCGCTGCGCAAATAACATGAAACATTAACGACGTGTAAGTAGAGGATTCGAAAATATGACCGGGATCCCGGGATCCCGGGATCCCGGTCATATTTTAGTCCCGAAATTTTCGGGATCAAATTTAATGAATCCCGGGATTTTCGGGATTGATACATTTTTTACATAATTCAATAAAAATGTGCGTAAAAAGAAACGCACTTGCCTTGATTTGATGTTTTGACAGCCATCTTGTCTACACAGCTGATTTCATTTGTTTTTGCTAATGACCGGTTCTGGATTATGCGTAAAAGTGTGTAATTTATAAAGATTCTGGGCAATTTAATTAAAAAATATGAGTAGGTATCTATAAACATTGGTCTCTTAAGCATATAGTTTTTTTTTATAGTTTATCTTAATAAGTCTAAAGAAGTTTTTTAAAGCTATTTGTTAGTTTCATAAATCGTTTACCGCAATACAAAACAAACTAGGCAATAGTTTATTTACTTTATAACAAGAAAGTATAATTTTGGTTAACCGCCTTTTTGGAGATTTAAAACTTAAATATTCTATGTCCTCACAAAACTAAATGATAAAAAAAAAATATTTTGATATGTTTTACTGTCTTTTTGTTACCACTTTCCATTGCCCATACAATCCCGGGACTATCCCGGGATTCCGAGATTAACTGTAGATAATCCCGAAATCCCGGGATTATAAAAATCGACCGGGATCGAATCCTCTACGTGTAAGGGACTAACACTTTTTTGCATAAACACGCTCCAGTATTGGTTGAATCGTTTTAGATCAGGCAATTTTGAGTTAAAGAACAAGCTTCGCGGTCAGCCATTAACTATAGTGACGACGACGAATTGAAGGCGATAGTGGAAGCGCATCTAACTCAATCTACGGCTGAGATTGCTGCGGACATTGGAGTTAGTGTCAAAACAATATTAAAGCACTTGCGTCAAATTGGAAAGATAAAAAAGCTAGATAAGAGGAACTTAGCGACCATACGAACTTAGCGACCAGCAGCGAAACTTACGCGTCTCGAACTAATGAATCGGCATAGAAACGAGAGAATTCTTAATCGAATTGCTACCTTCGATAAAAATGGATCCTGTACGACAACCGTAAGCGTTCGTCTCAGTGGGTGGAGTCTGTCTGGTGGGCCAAGGCCTTGTACATCACAGCTTCTTACTGAATGGCACCACAATGACGGCAGATGTCTATGCCAAGAATCACTAATGATGATGGAGAATCTCTCCGTTACCCACCGACCTCACCAGACCTTGCCCTAACCTTTTTTAAATTAAACCATTTTTTTAGGTGGGAAACACCTGAGGCCTCTTGATTGTTGAATTTTACTACAAAACGCTTTCGCTAACTTCATCGCCTCCCGTCCAACAGACTTCAGATAATTTAGGCCAGTACTTTCATGAGCTAAAATAAACAAAATAACCAACATTTTTATATCTTAAAAATTTCATACAAATCTCCAACTTTATAGGTAAAGACCTAATATTATATGTAAATTATATTGTACATATTATGTTAATTGCGCATCCTGTTTATTACGAATGTATATTATTTTTAAATAGCTGCACTTTCACAGTTTTGCTTATGCATTATGGGTCATTTCGCTATCTTTCTGTTTAAACAATTATTCTTATACTTTAACTCTTACAAGTATTACCCATTGCCTAATAATCAATGGGTAATACTACCTACTACTAACTACTAATAATATTAGAATAGGTAATGACTAATATTCAATGGGTAATAATTAACGAATAATTATTTAATTTAGTTAACCCATTATCTGAGGTTACAGATATTTCATGTAATATCATTCAAATTAAGAATCTGTCTGTCTATATCGACGTGTTTTTAATAGAATAAAAAATCAAGTTCAACCAAATACGGGAAAGCAGAGTGACCTCAAAGCAATTTCATTATTATACATTACATTTAATTTGCAAGAGGTCATAGGCAGTAGTTAGTTTTAAATTTTAGAGTAATTAATAGATATTATAATATAGTCTTAGATTGTTATAGCTAGTGATTGAAACCTTCTCTGTACTTCTAGATTCGTTTGGTAGACGTTGATTTATGTTCACTTCTGTTCTTTTTAAATTTGAATTTTAGTAAACTTATGGTGCAAAGGCTTCAAACTTAAGTCTTTATATTTTCTCTGTTATATATCGTTTATGTGTGCTCTACGCATATAATGTTTTGTGCATATAACCTTCTTTATTATTTATTTCAAAATGGCTGTTGTTGATCCATGTTAGTCATCAGGTCATTTAACTTTATCGACTTTTCCGTCCCCCACCCCGTTATGTCCACTTTGGTCGCGACGCCAATAAAACACTTCAATTCAAGTATTATCGGTATCCGTTATGCAGCTCAACTTGTTCTCACTCAATTGTCCTCTTTATTCTTTTTCCTTTTGCTGTACAAACATTATTTCATTCGAAAGAAGCAATGATCCTTGTTCACATCATAATGATAAATACAATAAAAGTCAGTTATATATTCATTGAGAAATGAATAAAGCAATATATCAATACATCTGTATATAATTGAAGTAAATTGTAATGGTGAATTCAAAGGAGATAGAATTGAATAATTTATTAGTCTACTGTCATAATCATAGGTAGTAAAATTACTTGTCTGGGTTAATTTTGTGTCTATTATTCGATTCTTTGTCGAATCTGTAAATTTTTTGACTGGTTGCTTTTAATAATATTTTGACGCTGAACTTTCTAGTTTTTTTTCTTCTAGTTACACAACAACAATACGAGTATCGGAGAAGCAGCCATACCAAGTCAAGGAATACACATGGTGCTTCAATGTGCCGCCTAAATGTTCAAAATATAAAATCAAGTTTCGTGAAGTCTTCAAGACTCAGACATTGGTGAAGTACAGACCGGTGGAAGAGTGCTGTGCAGGATATGCTCCGGATCACCGAGGGGAGCAGTGTGTGCCTGTGTGCGTAGAGTCCTGTGTCAACGGCAAATGTATAGCACCTAACACATGCGCCTGCTCACACGGATATGGCGGCCCCGCATGTGACATTTGTAAGTTATTTTTAATTCATTATTATTTTTAATTCCTAGGACTGAAATACAATTATAAAAACAGTTAGTAAATAGGATGTAGTTGAGGACTTAGTTATGATAGAATAAAGTAGCTGTTCTCCTTGGCTTCATTCATATGCACTTTTATATATAACGACACAGAGTTATTTATTTCCGGCAAGTTAAAAGATTGATATTCTCTTTGTTCAAAATCAAATAGTAGTTGTTACTTGAACTTAAGAAATTATAAGAAGTAAAAGATACGTCGTATACTCTGTCCGCTTATTTATTTCTCTTTTGACAATTCGGATTCATGCATTTTCAACAATTATGCCGATTCTAATAAAAAATTAATCTATATTTCCGTTTAAAATCGTCTTCGTGTAATATATTATCATCCATACGAATGATAATACGAGTATGAATAGTCTGAGTTTAGACTTGGATTTTAATAATTTGAGTGTTTTTTTTATGTTAAATACAAATAAAATCAAGTATTTATAACTATAGGAGAAGATATTTTTATATCGATATACATAGATTAAGTCAAAATGGACCTATAAATATGCAGTAGCAGCAGTAGGAAACAGATATGGTTATGATTATCATTTATATCCAAACATGGATCTTTAAGATAAAGTTTATTTTTCCATTGTGATTCATTATTTTTATTTATGAGTACTTTAGCTGTTTACACACACTCGACGTTTTGTTTATTATGGTGTTTTTGACTTTGAGAATTCATTTAATTAATGTTATTATAAAGAAAGGCCTATGTCCAGCAGTGGACTACTAAGGGCTGATGATGATGAATGTTATTTTAATTCCTTATTTTCCTTTTGGGGATTTTATACATTCGGACAGGATAAATAATAGAAGTATTTATCTTGTAGTTACTAAATACCAATTAAAAGATTTTGCTAAAAGCTTTTTATCGTGCTTGATGGAGTTGCTTTCATAAGCGATTGGCCACTTTTACCTGATGACTCTGGTTGGTGTAGACACTCATACAGAGAATAACCTGATATCCGTCAATATTCTGTTTAACCCAACCATAGGGTTTAAACGTTTCTTCCTTTTTTATTATTTGGGTTGTACCTACATGTATAATTTAACGTTTACAGCATGCCCTGTCGGCAAATGGGGCAGACACTGCCAGAACGAATGCAGCTGTTTACATGGAGGAACTTGTGATCCTTTATCGGGCCAGTGTGCGTGCAGCGCGGGCTGGCGAGGAGATGCCTGCGAGCGAGCATGCGCACCGCCCACCTATGGTGACAATTGTGATGAGATATGTCAGTGTATGAATAATGGCACTTGTAATGCTGCGTCCGGGGCATGTAATTGTCCATCAGGGTTTATTGGACCTTTGTAAGTATACTGGTATTTCTAATAGTTAAATTCCTAATAACTTGTACTAGGTATTTGACTTAAATAAAAATAATAATTAAACAACTGCCAGAAAACGACCTTGAAAGTTAGCTGTAAACCGAACACCGGTTTGCAGCTATCTTCATTGGCGCAGACTTATATTATTATTAACGATAAATACCTTTGAGGTTCTTTACTTGCAAATTTACTTGTACACGAAATCGTGTACAAGTAAATTTGAAGAACCTCAACACTACGGCAAAGGATCTAGCTGCGTGACTTTTAAAAGAAATCTTAAAATAATTATTTCTGTTGTATATGTTGGTTATTTTTCTTTGTTTAAAAGACATATTTAGTCATTAAGAATCGGACAAAATAGAATGAGCTTCATAGTTCAATGGTTTTATGGAAAAGTTTATAATAATTATGTGAGCTACGCCAGTACAAAGTTGTTTCGGCTTGAAAAGTTTGAAGCGTTAAACGGTACCTCTTAGATTAGATGGACTATAACTATGCCAAAAGTAAATACAGTAAAAAGTCACTACTATCGCTCTGAAATTGAACAACTGTAGTATTTAAAAGCGTTAGGCATTTCTGTGAAAACGGCTACATTAAACTATTATAAGGGTCCATTGTATATTTTGACGTGTACAAAAGTCTATACAATAACCATTCTAGTTATACTGGTCATTGAAATAAAATAGTCAGGCGATTTTAGTATTGTTTAAAGTTTGATGGGAATTTAGCATATGAGCTATTATATGTTTATGTTGTATGGAAAATTATTTTGCATAATATAATGTAAGAATTTTGTAATAGTGTCTTGTAATGTATAATATTTAAGACTGTCTATTGTATTACAGATGCGAAGAAGCTTGTTCAGGAGACTGCCCGGTGAGGTGTCCGTGCCAGAACGGTGGTCAATGCTCTTTAACGTCCAAATCGTGCGAGTGTCCTGCGGGATGGACTGGCGAAGTTTGCGCTAATAAGTAAGTGATCTAATAGGACTAAATTATTGTAAAGTTATATTCTTACAATAGATATTGTGATCCTATTATATATGAGTGATGATATTGCACCATCAAATTATATGTGGTTGCACTAGTATTTTAGGGAGTTTTAGGAGTTAATATCTTCACTGTTTCTCGTCATAAGTCCATTATTAAGCATAATTGTAATTCGTTAAGGCTTTATAAATATGTACGCAATCAAAATTAGGAAAAGTCAAAGCATCTACATTAAATAATAGCTTGCACGATGACGTGACGATGCAAACTAGTCGAAAGACCACAGAAGATATACCTACGTATCCAGTGTCATTAGTGCCGTGTAAACGCTGATTCTTGATTCATTAATGCTTTTGCCAGATTTGTTTTTTTTTATTTTGTAAAGTGTGACGAATTATTGCACTTGAATAGTATTGAAAATATACGATAGCCACCAGTTGAATTGGAGTGTCAGGAACGCCATTTTACGCCCTTTATTTATTTTACGCAATTTATTCTATTTTATCTAGATGTCCAGCAGGCCGATGGGGAGAGAAATGCGGACAAACTTGCGAATGCGCAAATGGCGCCGGCTGTCATCACGTCACTGGGCGATGTCAATGCGAAGCTGGTTTCACAGGGGAAAAGGTAACATGAATCAATTTTTGTGTGTATATTTAAATACACCGACTTTGCTATTTCATTTGATCATAAGATGGAAGAATGTCAATTTAATTTGATTAAAAACCCCAATCTATGACTCCTTTTATTTGCAGTGTTTAGATACATGTCCAGCCGGTACATATGGAGTAGATTGCCTTCACAAGTGCAGATGTGAGCATGGCGGCGAATGTTCACCTCGCAACGGTTCGTGCTTATGCAAGCCGGGCTGGAAGGGCGAGCGTTGCGAACTACGCGCCTGCCCCGACGACAAGTGGGGCCCTGACTGTGATCGAGCTTGCGAGTGTAACCCTTCTACTACTGACATGTTAGTAATACTGTGGCTACATTTTATTAAGTCGCCGACTGTCGTATTTGCTTTGCTCGTACATAATTATAATGACGATTCATGAATTTATATCATCCATATCGGATTAACGTTAACGCATTTGATAGAGTTCTTGAGAATTGGGATGTCGATCTTTTTTAACGATACAAATTAATTAACCTTTAGGAAGACGTTTACATTATAAATATTGTGTCAATTGAAGTCGAAAAGCGATCGGAATACATAGTTTATTCTTTACACAACCGTGGAATTGAAAATATTTGGAACAATGTAACTGTGTAATATTAGAAATGTGAATGAATTTAGCGACATCGGTAGATATAGAACAGGTATGTGACTCGGCGCAGTGAAGTGTGTAATCGTGTGGTGTGGGCAGATGCGAGCCGTGGTCGGGCGCGTGCGAGTGCGCGGCGGGGTGGGGCGGCGCGGCGTGCGACCGCCAGTGCCCGCTGCTCACGTACGGCAAGGGCTGCCGCTCCACGTGTCGCTGCGAGAACAGCGGCCTGTGCTCGCCTGTCAACGGTATGCACCCACGTTAAACCCCTCTTATTATTTTCGCTCATCTGAGAGCCTCGTGTGAGTTTATTTCGGTTCGACTCGATCGTCACCGTATCTGCCGTATCCCGATCGAGTTGCTGTGAAATAAACTCGCACTAGGTCCTTTGAGATGAGGCAAAAGTCTGTCTGACCGTGATAATCTCAAAAACTACGATATCATTTTTTATACCTGCAGTTTTGACCAATTTATTATATTTATTTATTTATTTTAAACTTAATGCACATATTGTACAAAAAGCGGACTTAATGCCATTAGGCATTCTCTCCCAGTCAACCTTCAGGTGATGTAGAAATATAATGCGGTAGGTGCAAAATAAAATATGATATTAACATAATTTAGGTCCAGAAACATACACAATATAAAAACACACATGCATACATAAACCTACATAAATTTAATAAAATATATAAATACTCAGTCGGGAACTACAGCTGTAACTATTTCGCCAATTCACCCCGAAGAAGATCGCGCACTTTTCTCTTGAATGCGAGGCGATTTGTTGACATCCTGATTTCAGCAGGGAGGGCATTCCAGAGGAGGACTGACTGGACGTAGAAGGAGGAGTTGATGAAGTCAGAGGTGTGAGGGGGGCATAGAAGAAGCATATTGTTGGTTGATCGAAGATTGATTGATGATGAATTGATGGTGTGTGGTGGAAATATTTAGGTGTAATTCATCTATCTATCCCACTAGTCCCGTGTCGTTGTCTCATGATGGAACAACTGACACTGTTTCATCTGAGTAGACAGACCCATGGGACAAGTGACACCAATATTGTAGTTTCAGAAGTTCTTCAACATGTGACAACGTCACTTGACTAGCGGGTTAGACAGTAATTCATCAAGGTTAATTGTTAATTAGCTGAACTATGACAATGTTTTTTATGGTTTTTAAACAATTAAAATTACTTCATATGTTGAGCCATCACATTAAACATGCAATGCCCAATAACAAATTTTCTTTAAAGCAAGTTACTTTTCGGTTAAACACATTTGGATGGGTGGTTAATATTTCACATTGTGTTTTAAACTTTAATACATAACCCATATGCATTTTTTCGATTCAAAAATAATCTTTTTATTTATTTTACTTTGGTAAGGTTCCTGTCTGTGCGCTCCGGGGTACCGAGGAATACGTTGCGAGGAGCCATGCCCTTATCCGTACTATGGCGATAACTGTTCTGATACTTGTGACTGCTACAACAACGCTACTTGTAGCTACGAGACTGGCGAGTGTGAGTGCAAACCTGGGTATGTGTTCCTGTCGTAATATTGGAAATTATTATCATTTAATGTAACAAAACAGACAGAGAATATATTAAATACTAGCTTTTGCCCGCGGCTCTTTTCACCCCCTTAAACGATGATTTCGGGAATAATAACTACCCTATGTCCTTTCCCGGGACTCAATATCTCTATACCCAATTTCTTCTAAATCGATTCAGCAGTTAAAGCGGGAATAGGTAACAGACGGACACATGTTCGCATTTATTATATTAGTATGAATACACCGTCCCTTGTTGAGCAGTGTTAAGTAAAGATTTGAATAAAATGTTCTATGTGTATTACAATCAAAATGCGTTGCATTTTGAAAAGTATTATTTTAGAGATGAAAGACATCTCATAATTGTGCGGCTTTCAGATTCGAAGGTCTCAAATGCGATCGGCCATGCAACGGTAAAACATTTGGATTAAAGTGTCGTCAACAATGTAATTGTGATAACGACGCTCCGTGCAATCCTGTAAATGGTACGTATCTTTTTATCATTTTATTATTTAAAAAAATTGTCTTATGTTTCAAATGACAACATTTTGCAAAATAACAATGCTGTTTTGTAACTCTTAGTAGGTTTTTTTTCTTTCTACTCACTAAACTCTAAGCACAACGTTCACCGCCTGCTAAACTAATTAAGAGTTAAACTCAGCGAACTAAGCTAAGCCAAAATGGGACATAAGCTGCTCGTGTATCGAAAAATAAGCTATAACTTAGAGGGGCTTAGTTGAGTTCGCGTAGCTTCCGATCGGTCTACATAACTAAGTTAGTTTGACTCAGTTGGAACGTTTTAGTTAGCTTAGCTGGCATAGTTGCCGGTGAACGAACATGTATAAAAAACCGGCTCAAGTATGCGAGCTAAATTAAAGACACTCAGTTTAGCTAGCGGTGGGCGGAGCGCTCAATAGCCGTAAAGGTGTAAAGCGCATAGTGACGTGGCGTGTTGTCGCAGGCGAGTGCGTGTGCGGCGCGGGCTACACGGGCCCGCGCTGCAGCCGGCGCTGCGGCGCGGGGCGCTGGGGGCAGGCCTGCGCCTCGCACTGCAACTGCTCCGAGCACGCGCGCGGCTGCCACCACGTCACCGGCCACTGCATCTGCGAGACGTCCTGGAGAGGTGCGTCACCTTTTTCTACTAATTATATCACTACATAACACCAAACTTTCAAAGTTACGTTATAGTCGATTGAGTGCATAGCGCTAAAGTAAACATGATAATTGTGCAACGTAACACCGGTAGCGGTGAACTAGCAGTGTCGGCTAGTTTTTATTTGTTTTCTAAAAATTAAATAACTGGAGACTAATAAATTAAATAGTGAGAGCTATACTTTAGTGATCAGGTTTCTGATATATATATATTTATTAGTAAGTAGTCAAACATACATATTATAGATAAATTAGACATTAAATTGCATTCTTTGTTCTGGATGAGAATCTTATCCAATAATAATGAGCATCTTACTTTTGAATTCAGGTCTAGCTAGAACAGGTATGTACACATAGCATAAAATTTATTTTTATTTTTTAACTTCAATGGCAGATATGTTCGGATACACCGTTATGTTCGACACCTTGTGTGATGACATTAAAATAGAAATAAATTCCGAAGAACATGAAACCGACACAAATGTCATCTCGAGTAACGCCGACGCATTTCAGATGACCCACCGAAGGCAAAATAACATCAAGAATGACATAAATTTTGATGATTATGAATATCAAGATTTGGATCGAAGCCCAAACCACCTAACGATCGTATCAGAAGAATATAATCGTATACAGGAATTGCCAATACATGACTGTATATCCTACTCAGTCTATGATAACTTAACAGATTCTAATTTAGCTTTGGCGACGGTGACACGAACCCTTAGTAAATTAGATTTGCAAAATGTTAAAACAATAGTTGCATTGGTAACTAAAAATAAGACTTTTAATAACATAGCAAGTATGTGGGGTGTATCTATTAATGAGGGACAGATATATGTTAACAAATTGTAATCGGTCATGTTACGGAATCCTTAACATTAAGTAATAATTAAATTATGTATTCAGTATTGCGTTATTTATTTTGGGCCTTATCTATGACATTGTCAATGCTGGCTAGTGTGTTATTTTTATTCTAATTAGAAATAAAAGTCATATTAGCGATATAATTATAATATTTATTTTCAAAATCAATCAAGCGCTAGTTAAACTCATGTAGTGTAAGTTTCTTAGTTATTTACTTGGAAAATAAGTTATCTATACCTTCTCAAAATGTAGGCTTTATATTTTCGTAGTGAGGAATGTTCAACTTTAAATCAAGTTTGCAATTTCTTTTTCTCCATTGGAATATAAAAGTGACCCAAATAATGAAAATTGATTATCATTGATTCTGTAAGACAAAAGCTAAAAGCTTGCTGCTGATCGCACAAGAACCCATTCCAAAATGAATGAAATCCCCATCATTCAACCTATTTCTAATTGTTTAGGCGAGGTGAAAAAGCTTTTAAAAGTGTTCATCGCTGTTAATATGTACTCGTATTATTCTATTACAGAGTAGAAAGTGTATCGAGAATAATTCGCTTATACTTTAATTATAGAAAAATATTTTTACACTTCAATTATTAAATTCAGGAAATAATCTTTACATTTTACAAAGTATTTGAGGAGGGTGTGGATTTAATTAATCCACAAGTCACTGACAATGAGCTTGTCCATTATCAGCAATTTAGTCTTTTACCTACAGTCAAACAACTTCTTTTACTTCTTACTCTTTTAGTCCCCTATTGTCTGTCCGATGTTTTCGTCGACGATCCCATATGAAAGTGATGATCCAGAACTTCATCAAATAGATAAAACTTAACCAATTACAACAAGCAAAGTATTTAAAATGATACTAGTACATAGTATTAGTAATATCCATGATATTAGTAGCATTTATCGATTCGTGCCAGCTAATTCTAAAAACTGTCAATTTCATAGGTATCTTATACAAATAGCGCCAGATGTAATACACAGGGCTGCGTGCATTTTTTTCTTCATATATAAATACTAGCTTAAGTGCGAATATAGCAATTTTAGTAATTATTTAAAGAGCCTTATAAAATTTTACTTAGCTCATTTTGCTTATACGATGTTACCTGAATTTCTCTGTTGAGAAAAAAAGAGAGAGGGAGATGGATATGCAAATGAAGAACGACGGAAGAACTTTACGGGAAATAATGCTCGAAGTTTTCGTTGCTATACTGGTGACCCTACGTCTCGTACTCGAGTCGTAGTACCCGCATGTAGGATTACACCCAACAAAATGTTTACTTACCGTATTAAGTAACTAAAATGGGTGGTAAACGTAAATAGAAAAATACCTTGAACGTAATACTTCAACTTTGCACTTTCTTTTATTTGAATGCCGTCGGAAAAGACCTTCACACATAGAACGTTATATTTTTAAAAGAAAATGAAACCAAAAAACAATGATAAAATAAGGTTTAAAATTTTCCACGATTTGTAGTACGATAATACCTGTCTAAATATTAAATTTTAACATCAAGAGTTGTTCAACCTTGTACTTTCTTTTATTTGAATGCCGTCAGAAAGGACCTTCACACATAGAACGTTTTATTTTTTAAAGAAAAGGAAACCAAAAAACAATGATAAAATAAAGGTTTAAATATTTTCCACGATTTGTAGTACGATAAATCCTGTCTAAATATTTAATATTCATTACTTGAGTATTTGATAGAACCATATGTTGCAACAAACAGGTGTGCGTTGCGAGACGCAGTGTGCCGAGGGTCGGTACGGCGAACATTGCTCGGAGCGTTGTCCTTGCGTGAACAACTCCTCCTGCGACGCGTCCACAGGCCGATGTGTTTGCGCTGCGGGCTGGACCGGAGACAACTGCACGATACCATGCCCTCCTGGTACTTACGGTGCCGGTTGTACGCAACTCTGTCCTGAATCTCCTACAGGTAATAATACTTTTCTGGGTCCTCTATTTCTTTCTTCTTTTATATAGTTTTATTCAGGTTTGAAGAAACCTCCCAACATTACTATGGGTACTCATATCATAAACTACAGTAAACGTGAAAATGAATATACACTGTACTATCTTCCGTCAGAGTAGGCAAAGACCAAGCTCTGTCACTTTTTACATACCTGACAACCAAATTGGTTCAGCTTGTGATCATCATTGATCAACCCTTATCAGCCTTCCTACTAAAGTTTGCTCAATATCATTGTTTTTCTATTTATTCCCGACTCATTCTTTCTACGTGCTCAAACCACCTCAGCATATTGTTTTCAATTTTTGATCGTCAAAAGTCAAAATCGTATATCATAGAAAAACAATACGAAACCTTTGACATAACCATAGTTACGAGTTACTTCTTTAGTTCAACCAGAAATCTACTGTACCTTACCTTACCTTACAACTTAACAAATTGCTTAGCGTACCTTATAAGATTGAACTGTTTTTGCCAAACGGTTATTGTTAATGGCGATTTGAAATGTACATTATTACGAGGAAACTGTTTATTGTCAGATTGCCAAGTAGAAAATGTTTATAAACATTGATGTGTAATGTTTGATGTTTAATGTTTGTTAGGTAATACAACTTGCAATCCAGTAACGGGTATGTATAACTGCCCAAGTGGGTTTACTGGGGTGACCTGCGAGTACCCCTGTCCACTTGGCACGTACGGCGTGGACTGTAAAGAGAAGTGCACTTGCAAGAATGGAGCTGACTGCCATCACGTCACTGGTGAGTTTTACTTTTCTTTTGTAATAAATTGTTTCATAATTTATAGTAAAGTTACAAATATAGTTTGATTTTCAAAATTTATACATATTACCTATTTAGTTATCTCAGTAACTTTCTTTATTAATACGTAATACGTAATACCACTACCCAAATGTCGTAACTTCAGGAGCAATAAGTTGTACAGTAAATTCATCGCCCTCGCAACTAATTACATCAAAAGTAAAGTGGAAGAGCTCACAATAAAGTCAATCCATTTCTTAAATGTTTTTTTTTAATAAAAATACAGTTTTTCATACAAATTCCATACATTTTTTAGATGTTAAATTTATAAAATATAGGTGCCAATATGTTCGATAACTTGTTGCCATCTTGTAGGTAGTGACATAATCCAGTTATTATAGGAATCCTGGATTTAAAAAAAAATGCGTCAAGTAGTTTAGACAGAGAGGACCTCTTGATGATAAAATCTGAGGGTGCCAGGTAAGGACTAGGTATATGGTGATCGCATGAACACTTCCCAACCAAGCTTTTCCAATTTTTGTTGAGTAGCCATGTGTGTGGTTTGGCCTGATGGTAATGAAATTCCTTTTCAGCACTCCTTTTCTATTAATGAATTCCGCCTGTTTTTTCTCATTTTCTTGAGTTTCATTAGTTGTTGGCAATAGAAATCCAAATCAATAGGTTTTCTCGGTGGTAAAAGTTTATAATAATCGATGCGTTTCCAATCAAACCATAAATACAGCATCACCTTATTGCGCGTTAATCCGGGTGCCGCTACAGTCTGAGGAGCTTGGCTACCCTTGACCATGATCTTTTTCGCAAGTTTTTGTCTCAGTTATGTCCACTTTTCATCACTAGTGATCAATTTTTTCTTTTATAAAATTCAAAAAAAACATTGAAAAAAAAACCGAACTATTTTTATAGTGTTTTTTAATGGAAAAGCGCAAATGAGTACACCATTCATTATGCTTTTATGTAATGAATCTTTAGAATGTATCGAATTTCTTAGTTATATTTACTCATTTTTCTAAACAGAAAAACCGCGGGAAAGTGTTTTTCTTTTTCAATTCACTATACGTATTGATATTAATTATTTATTATTAATATATTAATTACGAGCCAGATACAAACAGTGCAACCAAATATGTTTCGTTCATACAAAATACGAAAATACTTCTTCCCTTACCTATTATAAAAATTGGCAAATCAATCGCTTCGTAGGTAAGAGTGGAGTTTAGTAAATTTTTACCATCATTAATGACGTGAAACTAACTAATCTTTCTGGCAGTGTTTTTATACAATGTATCTTTTCTATATGCGACAAGCATGTGAATTACGTATGTTATTTATGATTCGAATAATATACGTTAACAGGTTAGTGAGTACCCGTGTTAACGTAGTAATTTGTGTGTGAAGGCGAGTGCCAGTGCCTGCCGGGCTGGCGCGGCGCGCGCTGCGGCGAGGCGTGCGGCGCGGGCTGGTGGGGCGCGGGCTGCTCGCAGCCCTGCCGCTGCGCGCCCAACGCCGCCTGCCGCCCCAACGACGGCTACTGCCGCTGCCCGCCCGGGTACACCGGCCACTACTGCACGCAGTGTACGTATCGACCTTTTTGCCTCACTCCCTACACACTCGCTCACTCGTATTTATATTCAAGTTTGAGTAAATCACACTATATTATAAATATGAATGTAAGTGTGTTTGTTTTGTTTATTTGTAATACTTTTATGCTTTAATTAGCATCAAGAAATTTTGCATAGGCATCCTTTGTTCCTTTTTGTACCCCCTTTTTTTTGTTCCTTGCGGAAATCCCCTCGGATACCACCGAGTAGGTGGTATGTCGGACTCGAACCGACTAAAACCGAACGCCGTCTCGGGTACTAATAGCCGGGGAACCAGGTATACCCTAGAAAGGAAGTCCCTGGTGCCCCGACATACCTCGGGTCATCTACAGACAAGTAGACGACCCCCCCCCCCCCCCCCCCCCCCCCCCCGTGTGGGAACCCCATGTTCCCTCTGCTCCCCACGCGCTCGCCGCCTTTTGTACCCCTGACAAAATAGTAAGGGGTATAAAAAAAAAGGTTTAGTTTAGTTTTTAGTTTGTTTGATGTCGATTTGTCCGATGAACTGCATCGGATAAGTTTGTGATGCTTACAAAGTTGAAATAGCTAGCGTCATCACATAAACATCCGTCAACAACTATTTCGGGAGAACTTTCTACAATTCTGCGGGCCGAGAGGTTAAAAAGCGTGTGAATGATATCTTTGACCAGTACTACTATATAAAAATATTAACCCAATAAAATCTCGAAAAAATACCGGTTTTTTTAATCAAAATAATAATCATAAGGACCTAGAATTCTACCTACACTGTACTTTACACTCTTGATTACCTAGAAGCTTAGTTTATCCTTAAGACATGTCCGTGCCCGTAGACGAATGCTGTTGCCGAGCATGCTAGGAACTAATTCAATAATACAATCAATAATATTAATAATAATTCTACTACAATTTATCAATGAGGTTAACATATTTTCATTACTATTTTTACGATTCAGTTTGTCCCGAGGGTTACTTCGGTGACCACTGCATGGAAGCTTGCAACTGTTCGTCGGTCGGCAACTGGGTGTGCGATCCGGTAGGCGGCTGCATATGTCACCGCGGATTTGTTGGAGACAACTGCGATATACACGCCAGCGATGCTATCGTCAACTCTATTGATACGCGTATGTAACATGTATTAGTCCTGAATCACTAAGGACAGTGTGTAATTGCAGTTTTTAATGAATTAAACAACAACAAAGTGTCTTATAATATAATATATACTTCTCTCAAGGTCTCAAGCTAGGCCAACCTATATAAGCTTCTATTTCACTTGCTCACCATTATCAAAATCTTACAAGTACATTATTTTGCGATTATTGTTGACTCCAGCCTAGGGAAATTCTTAATAGTCAACAGTGCAAGTATAATATATTCCGCAGTAATAATAAAAATAAGTTAATATAATTTCAGGAGACACATCTAGTTCTGGTCTGACGGTTGTGATGGTGATATTAGCCTTTGTATGCGCTGCGACAGCCATCTTGGTTCTGCTGTACTACCGCAAGCGCGTGCGCAACCTCAAGCGAGAAATAGCGCACGTACATTATACCGCCGATCCCAGCTCTCAGCCTGGTACGTGACTTAATGTTACAATATATTTTGTAATCTCTATAACGTATAAAAGTAGTGTAAATAAATGTATAATACAGTATGCTGTTTTTTTGGAATCCAAAATATAAAATGGAAATGTTTTATATTTATTCGTGAAAGATTCGGGAAGAAATAGAAGTGTTAATATCATTCTAATTTATATATTTATTTCTATAAAATTCAAATTAGCAGGCACGAACAACAATGATCACTCCATGGTTTTGGAAGTTTTGGAATTGGAATTGCGATACTTATTACTTATTTATCTGTTACAGAGCAACAACACTTTGACAATCCAGTGTATTCATACCAAGGCTCAACCCGTAGCGATGATTCTACTACACTGCTTAACAATATGCCTCAAATCCTTAACAACCTTGGACCCGGAAGCAAAGTTAACAACGCTACTTTAGAGAAACTGAGAATGAAAGCATCAAGCTCCTCAGACAGTAAGTTTAATTTCGTTGTAATAAAGTGTGTCCTTTGAGCAATAGGGATATCAGGACTAAAAGGTCAAAACTAATAGCATATGATTCATGTCTCTTCTTAACTTTAAGAGTATTATTTAGAATACCGAATATTATCTCGATAAATTTAAAACGCACGATACTGAATAAGTAACGAAGTATTAGACGTATATAGACATATGTATAACTTATATTGGCTTTCGACAAGTACACCATTTTCTCAGATGACACATGAAATATTTATAACGATGGAGTTGTATAGAATTTTAAGCAATACCAATATTTAGGATATTTTTGTTAGCTTTATGTTTTTTCAATACCAAAAATATTGTATATAGTCAACTTCATAATACTCATTTAATATTCATGTTGAATCATAAAAATGAAGAAACAATAATAATAAGTTAATAAGTATATACTTTTTGTTTTGATACTCAAGGTTACGACCCACTGTCGTCTATAAAGAATAAAGACGCCGATGCACACAACCCTAACTTGTTCCAATACGAGGACGATGACAACAAGCTCGATCACGTGTATGACGAGATAAAACACAAGGAGGGATATGGTAAATATGATTGATAATATAATCACTACATTATACATCTCCCACTGAATTATTTTTAATACTTAATTGTAAATGAACTAACTAAAATTGGAATATCATAAACAAGAGAGCAACTTGTTTTGAACAAAAATTAATTAAAAAGTACAGAACAATATTTTTTACACTGGTAAAATATACTCGTAGTATTTAATGCTCCGCAATCTGTGCCAAATTGAACAATGCTTGGAGTTAGAGCAGCGTTACACACACTACGACTAAGCGCTATTCAAGAAACTTGTTCAATCAATGAAACAAATTGTCGTTGCGGTGTTTCCGGTTCTGCTCGTTAGCCCCTTATATTATAAAAATGTATATTATGTAATAAACATAACTTTTCATTCACAGAAATGGAATATGATCGGCTTAACTACACACCACCTGCTAACAAGTGGAAACAACACTATCAAAGAATGAACAACAGCATCGGTACCATACCCAATGGACAACCGACGCCCCCGGCGCGGGACGACAGTCCCACTCCACCGATACCACCGCTGCCTAAACTCAACTTTGTCCCGTTACCACCCCAAAGAGATGAAGAAACTCTTGACGTACCTATTCCACCAAAACGAGAAGATTCACCAGGATCACTTACGGACACGCCGGACGTAGAAAATACCAACCCTTGACATCCGGAGAGGGTTAAATTGAACCATTTAATGTACTTGTAGCTATTCTAATTTTTGTAGCTTATAATCTAAAGTTACAGCAAAAGTTATATTTAATTTTGTATGAGGTTTTACGATGGGAGAGACATATTTTGATAAGGATCTTTTGAAATGACATCTATCAAATATATAATGTAATATTGAGCATTAGTATGAGTGTGCATTTTTGTTTGGAAGGCATCAAAGTATGAGCGGGTTCATATTTTAATGTAAAACAAACACCGACTTCTAAGAACCCCAAAATAATAATGCAGATAATCGCCAGATAATTCGTTTAAATTTGGACGTACTTTTTATAAAATGTATAGAGACCTGCAGGTCTAGCTTATTTATTAAAAGAATGAAAAAGATTTCACGTGATTTAAAACAGAGAAAGAAACGTTTAAATGCTGTTCAAGTTGGTTTAGAAGACATAATTGCACAAGAATTTGTAAGCATACCTTCATAACCTTTGATGTCGTAGACATGAGTGTGGTAGTAATCAAAGTTAATCATAAGGATATTATGCTTCTCATATAATTGCAGTTTTGAAGGTCCCCCTAAAATCCGGCCTATAAGACTGCTCCTAAAGAGGCTAAAGAACATTGAGTAGGTCGGAAACCTTGGATTTCTATACCGGCTTACTATGCGTGAGGGGGCAAAATCTCATTATTCTAATTGTTAATTAGAAAATTGAACATTATAATACTTTCAGTATAGTAAAAAGTAATAGTCTCATATATTGAATTAAATTGCTGATGTTCTTAGGTGTGTGTTGGTAACTGTATACTACATAAACAGTATATTTAGATATAATTCAATAAATATAACGTACGTAATGTTTAGTGGAGAGTTTAAAATACTTTTTAAGAAATGATTTTGGTGTTCAAGGGCTACTTAGCTCTTTATCTAAAACTTACCTTACTTACTTTGTAACACGTGATCAGATTAGAAATTGGTTAAAATGTTGTCATTCAAAACTTTACTCTTTCATATATATATATACTCACTCAATTACGTATTATACAATGGGTAGGTGTGAGGATTTATACAAAGTTTTATATTGAATGCCATATAATCGTGATGTTAACGAGCGTTAGTTTATTTTTTATAATGTGATTATGGTTGTAAAAAATCGTGTTCAAATTATAGAATACGTAGATTTAATTCACTGATAAGTGTTCTATTAACTTTTACATATCACAGTAGTAGTACCTGTGTGTGTATTTATTATATTTAATATCTTTTAACCTATGCATGTTTAGTAAATAACTGATTATTCTAGAAAATAATTTAGACGAGCTGTTGTCAGCGTGTGATTTTATAACGAGACATTTTTAAATCAACAGTGTAATAAGACCTTTTTCTTTGTAAAATAATGGTTTGAAAATCAAGAATGAATACGTACCCTTGGAATAAAATTGACCAAAATCAAAATCAAATCAAAACCAAAACCTGGCAGTTATTGTTTTGCCATAAACTAACCATAAAAAACTTAAAACGCTAAAGAAAAAGGACCATTTTTTTTTTGTAAGAAAAAGACAACAGTCACTTTCGTTGAACCATATTTACTTTCATTTTTTTCTTTTTAAAGATCTTGCTCATTTCATACAAGTTTTGCTCATTTCACACGAATTGCTTTTAGCTCATTTTAAGGGTGCGATATTACTTTTATACGGAAAGCACTTGCATTTTTGAAGTCCAGATATTACCCAAATTTGTAAACGACTTTATAAATGTTAGGACTATAATTTCTCTACAATATTTAAAGACTTCTTGAACATCATCTTCGAAATTAGTATTACGTCATTTTATATTACATGAACACATATTACATGACAATGGCCAATGACCCAACTCATGCTCCAACATGTACAAATTTGTAATATGTTAAATGAGTTTAAGAATTGAGGGTATTAGTTTAGAAGTTAAAAGGCACCTGTAAATAAAGTTCAACAGTTTTATGGCTATCCGAAATCTATCTGTATAAACGTACAATGAAGTATTTGATTGTAAATATGTTTATTTGCATCTCATACACAGTAAGTAGACAATTTTTGTATTATACATATACAGGCGCGTGGAAATTACTCAATACATTCCACTCGTTATTTTACACCGTTTATTTATTTTGCTTTACTTTTATAGCTTCACTTGTTTTGATACCTCAGTATTTTATATTTATAAAACTTGAAACTGTTAACATTTTATGTCGTAAATTTTATAAATTTGTTTCTTTATTTTGTATTTTATTGCATTTTATATAAAAAAAAAATGATTTTTATAACTTTTACTTTTAAATAAGATAATATCAATTGTAATTAATAAAGAGCTTTAAATCATTGGAAGTAACGAAAAACTATATTTTCAAATTTTATGATGAAAATGTTGCTCAAAAAGTGCCAAATTTATTTATACAAAATTGGTAACGTTTACACAAAGGCAGCTGGCAATAAATGTCTGATTGTTTGATTTATATCATATTGAGTTGATAAAGAAAAAGAAAAATAGGTGACATTGCGTTCCACCTGTTGCTTGATTTATATAACATTGTAACACAATGCAATAACTATCGACCATATAGATGAGACAGTTTTTCGCAAAGAAACTCGGGTGTTAATGTTTAACACCCGAGTTTCTTTGCGAAAAACTTACGAGTTTCTTTACTAACTATTTTAATCTTAAAATCATCAACGCATTTAACAAATATATAATATGCATACAGTATATTTAATAAATGCAGATGGTTGATGCACTCAAAAATCAATTTTTATAATGTCAGTTTATATCTTAACAATAATTATCTGACAATAATTAAATAAATAAATTATTTAATAAGTTTTTTTTCTATGAACTCTATAGGCTTAATTTATTTTTATATATTATTAGTGATGATGCTTGTAAGATTTCTTTATCGTAGAAATATTAAACACTTTATAAGTGTTATTGTAAGTGTTAAGAAATACGTTTGTGATATATTATATTAAGCTACTGGAAAAATAAACGAAATTCAATTATTATCTCATCTTTATTGTACCAATATCACTTATTCAAAACAATGTAATTGGTTTATAACGCTGTGACTTTAAATATTAACTCAGGTGTGAACTGATAACAATAACGCGTGTCTGTCCTGACTGAGCAAATAGACGTAAAACTAATTGTAAATTAAAAGCACGCTTATTCCGGATTCAACGAGTTAGTCTCAGGATCTGAAAAAGGTCGGTGCTTATCCGTTAGACCCTCCTTGTAAAGAACTAAAGTGCACCATGAAAGTTACATCGATTATTGCCACTATGATGGTAGCACAGGTGCGGTAAAGTGTTATGTGTTTAGTTAAAAATGTGATTGTGAATGAATTTTGGTAAGGATTTCAAAATATTTTCTTAATTGCAGGTTTCAGCTTCATTTTTGGAGGTATTTCAAGGTGCGGTGCTATCAGTTCAAAATAGTTTTGGAAAACTTTTTAGTGACGTAGTAACCGATGTCAAAGATACTGTTGACTGTACAATATTAGCAGTAGAACACATCCTTTCTCTGAGTGAGGATGCAACAGCCCGCTTTACCAAAAAATGTGCAAGTGCAAAAAAATATACTCAGAGTGATTCCCAATTAAAAAATAACTTTCCTGTGCTTGAAATTTCAATTGCGAACAATGAGGAATACTTGAAGAAAGAGCTACCAGAGGAAATTGATGCTAGAATTAATGCAACGCTATTAAAATATTTAAACGGTTACAATCCACACGATAAATTAGAAGTCGTTCAAAAGGAGTTAGCTAAAGAAACTGAGAGGTTGGCCGAAGTTAGTGATTTAGTAAGGCAACAATTAGACAAATTGTCTAAGGAGATTCACCTTGACTTCACTAATGCAGAACGGAAGGGTTACAAACCCTCTGTAGATAGTATATTAGATGAATTAAAAGTATTAGAAGCGATTGAACAAAGCATACGAAATTCTTCGGAAGCTAATGAAATTCACCGATTAGTCGACGATGTTCTTAATAAATTACATGCAATAGAATCTTCTGGAGCCAAGCAAAATGACAAAGTAAATGGCATTTTGAGAGACTTAGAAAAGAGCTCTAATAGAAGCTACAAGCATATGAGACAGCAGTTGGAAGATTGGAAGGCAGAAGAAGCTAGACATTTGAATGTAATTAAAGCTAAGATGGATGAGCATGAAAAGTTACCTAAACATTTAGAATATGCGAAAATGGAAAATACATTCGCAATCATTGAACGACCAAAGATATCTCTGGTCCCTATTGAAAAAGAAATTGTTTCAAAGACCGGACCTTTAAGTTCAAATAATACTGTGGAGTCCATACAGCCAAACATTGTAACAAATACAGACAGCAAATTTCTTACATTTATAACTGAACAGATTACAAGTACTCCAAAAATAGCTATTCAACCATCGCTTCACGCCACAAGCCCTGTACAAATAAATGACGCTTCAAGTGTTATTACACCTGTTTCGATAAGTACAAGTTCGTATGTAAATGAGATTATTGTCGATGTTATGACAACGTTGATTCCACAAAGAATTAAAGAACCGATCTTTGATCCTATGCCAGACACAACGTTCACAGAGAAAACACTTCATTCTATGAATTTGGATGCTCGACAATCGACTATCGAACTTTTAGAAAGAAGAACAACAATCTCTGCAATGACTTCAGAATCAGCTACAAGTCTACTAGTGACGGCTACCGACCCTACTAAGAGTTCAACAACGATTCCTGAACCGACAACAAGTATTCCAATGACGGCTCCTGAGCTTACAATTCTTGCAACGACTCTAGAACCTACTACGAGTCTAGCAAAGACGGCTATTGAGTCTACTACAAATGATGCAACGAACCTAGAATCTACTAACAGTCTGATAGTGACGGCTCCTAAGCCTCCTACTAGGTTTGCAATGACCCCAGAATTTACTACAGATCTTTCACTGATGGCTCCTGAATCTACTGCAAATCTTACAGCGACCCCTGAACCTAGTGCGTATCCTTCAATGACGCCTACTGAGCGTGATACAAATCCTACAACACTACCAGAACCTAACAGGGATCTTCCAGTGACGACTACTGAGCCCGCAACTAGTTCTGCAGTAAACCCAGAACCTACATTGGTTCTGGTTGTAACCACACCTGAGTCAACAAGAAATCCTGGAACGAACCCAGAACTTAGCACGGAACTTCAAGTGATAAGTGGTCGCAAAATAAATTCTGTAATGATGGCAAAATCTACTATAAATATTCCAGTGATGGATACGGCTGTTACTACGAGTCCTACGATGACCCAAGACCCAAATAAGAGTCTTCCAGTGACGGCTTCTAGGCTTATAAGTTTTGCAACGACACCAGAACCAACTACGAATCCTCTAATGACGAGTACAGAGTCCACTACAAATCTTACAACGACCAGAGAACTTAAAATGCACCTTCCACTGAACTCTTGAGTCAAATCTTGGAATAATATCGGAACTTACTACGGGACTTTCAGTAATAGCTTCTGAATATACAAGTTCTACAAAAACTTCAAAACCAATTCCAAATATGTTAATAATAAACTCTGATACTACTAAGAGACCTACAATGCCCCCAGAACAAACTACGAGCCTTCCAGTGACGACTTCTGAGCTTAAAAGTTTTGTAACAATACCAGAACCTATTACAAACTATCCAGTAACTACTCTTGAGCCTATAATAAACTCCGCAACGATCCCAGAACTTACTACAAAGCCTCCAGAATCAACTACAGAAGTTACAACGTACCACATAGTAAAGACAACAGACATTAGAACGAGCGCCCATGTAACGAATACAGAATCTACTTCAAGTCCTCTTAAAAGAATGCCAAAGGCCACTACGAGTCTTACAGCAACAGTACGAGAACCAACCAATAGTCTTGCACCAAATTTTTCGGTTATTAATAGAAATATTTCTATGTCGGCTTTTAAGCGTAATACAAGTTCTACAATAACTCCAGAACCAACTACAAATCTCCCAGTGTCAACTTTTCAAGAGCCTATATCAAGTTCTCAAGCGATGCCTCAAGAACCTTCCCTGATTTCTCCTTTGACTATTTTAGAGCCTACTCTGACTTCTATCATGAGGACTCTAGGGCCTACTACGAGTTCTCAGATGAAAGACCAAGAACCAATGACAAAGCCCGAAAAAATTCGAGAAACAACTACTAGTCGTTCAATAATGACTTTAGAATCCACCAAGAGTTCTACAGAAGCGATGTCAAAACCGACTACAGGTTCATTAAGAACGACTTTAAAATTAATTACAAATAATCGTAACTTCCAACATCCGTTTAATTTGCCTACTCATAGACCAGAAGTTCCTACACCAAGTTTAAACGTTTTTCTTAATTATATTGATCGTAAGGAGGGTTTTACTAAGCCTATTATACAATCTACAGGAGTGACTACAACTTCTGTTGCCACCCCTATAGGCGCAGAAGTTAAGATATTACCGCTCACACAAAGTTCATACAGTAAACCTCTATTTGATGTAAAGAATGGTCCAGTAAATGCAAAATTAAACGCTTTTTTCAGTCATACATCAGCTAAAAATATATCTTCTCCATATGCTAGAAGTGATTATGAAGTGCCGATGAAACTAACAATACCTGGTCTACCTAAGAACTCACATAATATGCCTCTACCTTATATTATGAAGCCTTCAATAGCTCTAAATAAAAATGATCATCCAAGACCTCTTTCGTTTAGCCGCTTGAGGCCACAGAGTGCCCATGATGAATCTCCTTACGGTGGCAATAATAATACACCTCCTCTTGGTAAAGGAATGCCTCAGAAAAGCCATATACTACCTCAAAGACGAAATGATCAAAATACGCCAATTCAGTCATCTGTTAGAATTTCTACGAATCTTAGCAGCTCACTGGGTTCAACAACGAATAAACCGGTCCCTATGTCAAAATCAAATAACGATGATGATGACGACTACAAATCGTTCTTTCACCTTTCTTCTAAAGACTCAGAGGCACACAGACGCGCTCTCAAAGAAGCTAAAAAACTAATCGAAGACAGTAAACGAGCACAACGTATTATTAACAATATATTTAAAAAGAAAAACAAAGGAAAAAGTGTATTAAATTTTCCAAAATCATTAAAAATTGGTAAATGAACATTTGTTTCATTTCAAGCTTGTTTATTGAACTAAAGGTACAATAACCGTACACGAACTAGACCATAATAGATATATTGGACGAGGATTCGCCACAACGGAAATTGACTTTTAGTAACAAGATAGCATTACTGGGTTTTGAAAAGAGGGTTAGGAATGCGTACCGATTCATTAAAATAATTCAACATACCAAGAACAACTACTTAATTTCAAACAAATATTGCTTGTGACATGTGCAGAATTGACAAAGGGTTTATCTAACGAAAAGAAACAAAATAATCTATATATAACGGTTTTATTAACAATATAAATAGGTAATTACAAACTTATGTTTCTACATTTGAGCTGCGCTAATCTACTGCGAGCAGTCCAATGTGCTTAGTCCTTAATAGTCTATCATTTATTAGGTTAATCATGTTTAATTGGGTACTAAACTATGCACCAGTACTTTTCTAATCGTCGATTTTATTGACACAATTTACTTATAGTCGAATATTAAATGTTATTTGAGTGTGGTTTCGCATATAGATTACTGTACGACATGTAGGTCTCATTTACTTTTACGTCGATAACTGTGACATCTAGTACCTACCTATTTTGTGGGTTTTACCCAACCAATACCGTTACTTGTCTTTTCACTCGAGTAATGACAAGGGTTTCAAATGTGTTTATTCCATTGTTATACATTTTGAAGAACAACAGTCCATTCTCGAATCCACTTGAACACACATAAAAAAATCATCAACATCGGCCCAGCTGTTTAGAAGGGTTTCTGTCACATACGCATAGAAAAATTATACAGGGTTACTGGGTGGGTCGACCAATATACTTTAAGGAGTTGTAGTTGTAATAATTTCTGATTTCACTAGGAAATACCATATCAAAATAACCATTTATCAAAAATACCCTATCAAAATTACCAATTTCAATATCAAAATTACCATATAAAGTAGAAATCTAAAAATAATTTTCAAGATATTGATCTTATTTTTAGATTTTTACTTTTGATATGATGATGATGATGAATGATGGTCCATGAATTTTATTCAATAAAAGTCCAATATCTTAAAAATTGTTATTTTTGGGATATGGTATTTCACAGTGATTCTATCAGAAATGGTGACAACTACAACCCCTTAAAGTATTGAGGTCGACTTACCCCGTAACCCTGTATATGTAAGATGATTATTGAACAGCTTTTCAATATTCGACTATAACTTACTAGTTCCTATGTATGTGACATTTTAATCACTATGTTCCTTTACTTTGTGTGTTTTGTTTCTAAAACCATAAGCTTTATATCTTAATAATTTATATTCGTTATTAATTTTTGTACAAACACCTTTTTAATATTTTTTTTATTGTGTCCTTGTTCATATTTGGTTAATATATAATAGTTTAATTTCAATTCCTGTCCAAAAGTTTGGCACGGTCATTGCTCTAACGCGTGCGTGAAATATAATAATTTATATACAGAATTCAACATGAGTACTTAAGAAATAAATACAAATAAATAGGAAGTTAAAACTTACCAAGTTATTATTTTAAAATTTAAAACGTTTATAGCTATTGTTTTAAACTAAAAGTGTGACATGACAAATATTAAATTACTGGTTTTTAAATTTCCAGCAGAATAGCACAATAATACAGGTTCATAAAATTGAGCAATTATCTTCTTAAAGTAAATCGTTATGTTGTACTTATTATCATAAGGATAATTTATCTTCACATGGGGCACATAAGTTTTTGTTACAATATTTATTGATTCTAATAAAACAATCTCGTTCAAAGCCAACCATAAAGTTGTTTTACAAATACATTACTGTATTTCATAGGTTTCGAATACTATATTTTTTCCTTATAAATAATAAAATCGATATCGTTATTTTAAAGTACATGTTCTATTCTACGACAAATTATACAGTGCTTTTAGAAGGAAGAGGTGAAGATTTCTAGACGATACATGCAGCATGATTTAAGATTGATTTACACTACAGCTAAGGTTTATTAATTTCTTAACGTTAACGATTTCGATGTCTACGTATAGCACTAATTGTACTTGAATTAATGTACATGAAATGATGTAGTACCCTAGTATCATTACGTAACTTTGTTAGGCTTTCCTCAATGTTAGTTGGAGGTGTAATATCGTGAGACGAAATCCGTGGTAGCAGCTCTATTCTCGTGTTTATTCGGTTAATCGTAATTCCTTTTGGTTATTTCGAAGTACATTAAAAGCGCCATGAGTCAAAACTTTTTATTATACCTCGATTAATCAATATTTTATATTAGTTAAGTTTTCATTCTCAACAGAAAGAACTTTTACAGTTCATGTTAAGTTCAAAATTATTATGTCGCTGACTTTATTCGATGGCACCTCGGCCGCTCTACTTTTGGATATTTTTTTAAAACTAATCAGTAGTATTCAATGATATATTAGAAAAAAAAAGTTCTCTTTGGCATAAATAAAAAGATGAAATGAAATCACGTTTTTATATGACTGGTTTTGTATAAATACCAAACAAAATAAAATCTAAACAAATATCATTTTATTTAATGCAAAAAACAAGTCTAAATAACACTGGGCGACTTATACTCAGGCGCAAGTACTAAGTCATAAAAAAAGATACGTATTTAATCTCGAACTAAAGGAGAAATCTTAGAAATATTTTCTCAAATTCAATTTTTATTTTAATAAGCGAGGTGATGTTTGCAGATCTTACCTAGTGGAGATGAAATGGAGCTTAACCAAAACTATTTTAGCAGTAGGTATATAGTAGTATTATAATACGTATGTTAATTTGCTACATGATGTCGTTGAACACAGACAAATTTATCTTGGTGGTGTTTCGTTCGTTTACTTATCCCTATTTTTTAATCCTATCAATATTTAGATGACAAAATGAAGTATTACTGAGTTTAATGATATAATGCTGATAGGCTTCTAAGGGAAACATTTTGCTACATTTTATTGTCACATTCGACTTGGATACATTTATTAGAATTTATGAGGTTTATTTTCTGTAAAAGTTGTTAACCGACTGTACCGTCGATGGATGAGAGTTATGCGAAGTACATAAATAATTTTGCAAAGTAATGTAAGGTTTATCTGTGTTAAAATGTACTCCAAGTATTGAATTCCCACCAATTATGGTTTATTAATAGAACACACACTTTAACCAATTAAGTATTTATCTTATAAACTTACGTAATAACGCTGGAAAAATTAATGATGTAACCTGACATTTCAAACCTTAAATTTTCTTCAATACTTAATCAGTTTAAATTTATGTACTTTGCAGTAGGCACTAGTTAACGTTAGCCTACCCGTTGTTGATATTAAAAATGAATCTAATCCAAATTATTTAGATTTAGTCACACATTTTAGTCCAGGTTCATAAATGACATCTAAAAATATCAGGTTAGCTTGATTTTAGTACCCACGATCGAAATTAAATACTGTACTTACGAGATAGGTATAGCGGATAAAGATCTGTAACTTCAGTATAAATGAATGATTTAGACATGAGCTTAGAGATATTAGCTAAAATGACTGGTGCGTTCAAGAGTAGATATTATGAAAAGATATGAAAGTACTTATGCAACTAACACGTCAACTATAATAGTTAGATATAGTCACGTGTCGTGGAATAGAACACGTTCCGGGCGGGACGGGTGTGCGTTGGGTTTTGCAGTGCAACGGTCATTTCATATACCCCATACTGTAATTTGGTATTGGAAAGAAGTAGGAAAGTGAATGTAATGTTTCCTTCAACAATTTACAGCATAAAGGCACCGTTGTTAGTATATTATTGAATAACCATTAGAATTAAGTGGAAATGTGACGTCAGTTTATTCCGTTTTCATTCCATTATAAAGATTTTTTATTATTTTGTTTTTAATAGTGTAATCTGTGACAAGAAACAGGAGAATTCTGCGTTAAAAAGTTATCGTTAGTCATAAACGGAAACGTTAGTTCTAGTCAGTCTGTTGAAAAATCCCAGCCAGGTATGGTATATACATATTTTTGAGCAGATCGGATAAAATCAGAACTATCGGTCAATTATTGTGAATGTGTGAAATTAATTTGCAGATTTTAATAAGAATTTGCAGAATAAATTGTTATTCATCATCATCATCAACAGCCTTTACTAGTCCACTGCTGGACACAGGCCTCTCTTTAGAAAGGAAGTTTTGGCGTACTATACCACGCTGGCCAGACGGGTTGGTATAGGGTTTGTTTCAAGTTTTCCTTCTGTCTGCAGTGCTGTTGTCCTGTTTAGTTTACTCCCTTAGTCGGCTCAAACGACACCCGCGGGATGAATAGGGGCGGTGACACTCTGTATTTTTAATCCATCACCACACGAAATTGTTTTTATGTAACTTTAATCTGTTTTAAGTGACTTATATTTTCTATAAAATGAAGAAGTATAACGTAATAGTCTGACGTCACATTTCCTAAGGGTATCGTGATCATCACGATTATGTCGGTGGCGGACACCGCACCAGCGTCGTGGTGGCATACTGGTTAAAGTGCTTGTCTATGGGCACCCGATCATCGTAGAGCGTGGGCGCCTGGAGGATAATCCCTGCTGTGCCCACCAACACTGCCAGCGTGAATATCCACAGGAACAAACGATCAAGCACCATTGCTACGTATTTCCAGTCCTCTTTTACCTGCATTATCAATTTTGTTAAAGATTTTCAAATTAGTTTAAATATTAGTTTAGTAGTCTCTATTTCTATGTTTAAACTTTATGTTCCATTACTCTGTTAGCTCGTGTAAGGGAGAATCAGCGGGACCTAACCGTAGAACTGGGGGGGAAAGGTGAGGCCATCTGTCACCCTAACAGAGACAGGCTGCAACATTGTCTGTAAAAATCTAAGTAATTGTAACAATACTTTTTTCAATCACTACGGTACATAAAAGGAAAAAATGACAACTTGAAAACAATCAACCTATCCCATTTACATAGGCACTTAAGTTATTTATTTACATCTTGAGAAACCATATCATCAGCTTTTTCCCGATTATAAAAAGCAGTAAAGGACTGCCTAATACATTTATTGGTTCTCATTAAACACTTTACCGTATTTTCTCTTGGGTCCCGTAACATTTTTATAATGCGTCACATTTCGTCACAATAGTCGAGTCGAGACAGTATTATATTTAGTTAGTAGTTATTTTTTGCATTGTTGTAAATAATTGAGACAATCGAACGAAAATTGCTATTGAATACAATGAGTACTAGCATTTACGCTGATATACTGTCGTTCTGTACAACGCAAGCAGTGATTATCTAACAAATGGATTGCTTTGTCAATTTTCTATCTGCGATTTTTAGCAATTCATTTTTGGTGCAATCGAACCCAAAACGTCCGAAAAATTAAGGGATGAGCTATGAAGATATGTACCAAGACAAATCACTAAACAACAAGTAGGTAGTCGTGAGAATTTAACATCTTAATATAGTCGTAATACAAAATATACTCTACTACTCTAATCTTGCTAGACTTAATAAGGCCTTAACGTATTATTTTGAAGAAAATTGAAACTTAAATAATTTAAAGTAGGCGGTAGGCCAAAATAATGATTTATAAAAGTATACACACCTTAGTAGAGTCCTCGAGCCTCTTAGTATGCTCAGCAATGAAGCGCACACAAAAGCATGTTTTGTGAACTTCAGGAGGACAAGCCGAATGGCTGAACCCAGGCGGGGGATCAGGCACAGGGCTTAACGTCTCTTCGTCTGCGGCCGGACCTGCCAGCCCGCCGAGACCGGCGGCCCCGCCGCCTTCGCTTGACCCGTGTACCAAACAGCTGCCTCCAAACCTATTGCTGTCCCCCATACTGGAAATATTTAATTCCTTTTTTATTAGTCAAATCTTGTAAGAAAGTTTCCTAAAACCAATATTTCTATAACTGATCCTGTGATCCTGATAACTGTTGTTTTTATTGTAGAAGATCTAAACTGCGACTTAACCAGGTTTGGGTTTTTATATGATATTTTTTGATGTGATGTCCTTCTGCACCGCTTGCCTGGGATCTTATAATAGACCCATGATGGTCAACTGTCGATATACACTGACACGGGTATATATCTTTTTTAAATTGTAATATGAAAAGTATGACATTTGTATAAAATTTATGTGCCGTTACTTATAAATGGATATTATTAATATAAGTTTATCGTTGCTATCCATAATAACCCTTGTAACGAAGTTAAATACAACAAGTTTACCACAGTAATATTTTAACGAACCCTTTTGGGTTATTTGAGCGTAGGAATGAGTTAGGAGTTATCTAACAAACATTAGCCGTCCGACCGCAAATATTAGGAATTACGAATTAGACGAGAATATTATTTGAGCCTGATCGGCCCTCCATGTATTTATACATCCACCCACTATCCGCAAGCAATACTAGAATAATACGAGAATAAATTGGCACCCGATGGATTGGAACTTAGAGTTCAACTAATATTTGTTTAAAGTTGTAAACGTTTCCGTTGTGAATTGTTATTTAATTGATCTCTGTCTCATCAGCTCGTATATGAAAGTCCCATATTCTAATAGGTTTATTTAAAACCACCCGGCTTCGAACCTGCATAAGAGCATATGTAACTTTTATTTTCTTGTGTTAGTTATTAGATCCTTAAGATTTTTCCGTAATACGTTGTTTTCATAACTGTAACTCTATTGGCCTACGCGGTATACGCCAGTAAACCGATTGCATGATTTTTTATCATCGCCATACTACAATTATACTAAGTACATAAAATTGTAATGAATTTCACACCTAAACCTTTCTCGTGAATCATTCTACCCATGAATGAAAGAAAACTGTAAGAAAACCTGTTCGGTACTTTTGGATTTTATCACGTTCGATTTGTGGGTTGAGACGATAACACTTGCAATAGCTTTAAACTAAATGACTACATTTTTATCTAACAAAGAACCAATTTGCCTTAAAATACCAATATGTAACTTTTTTATTATATAATAGTCAAATTTCATGTAAAGTAATACGGGAATCAAGTAAATGGTTATATTTTAAAATATATTTTATTTATCAAAATTATGTAGGCGGGTTATGATCTCATTAGATAGACTAAAAGACAGAGAATTTGATGAGTTACCTTGGAATGTGTAGTGGGAGGCACTAGCTTGTAATACGCCAGGTAAAGATCTTAAGCAAGGCTAGTCAAGTTCAAAATGGACCTAGTTTGTAATATTTAATTGTAAAGAGTTTCTGCCAGCCCTCATCAACAAGAGTACCTTGGATTTTATGATAATAATGCTTCTTCAGAACATACTTATCGCAAATTTATTTATTGATTTTTCCTGAAGCTCTGCTGGAGTATCTAAAAGGTTTCTTGTACCTACCTTACCACAATACTTTTTTTTTCGAGATTAAAGGTTTCCTATGTCCTTCTCGATAGAAAACATTGTTCACCCTTGGCAAAGTACATGTAAAATATAATGATGACCGTGTGAGTAATAAAAAGTGAGGGCTATCAGAGGAGGCCGCGTCTATAGACTGTAATGGCGATGTACTTATTTAATCCAGCACTTAGTACTTGTTCGGTAACTCTCATAACATTTAACGCGATAAGCGAATATTTTGTTTAAAACCTAGACTTAGACTACTGGAATCCATTCTGTATAAATTATATTAATTCAACTAGCTATTTCCTACAATTGCACTACCATTCACAAAACCAATCTTTTATTATAGGTTTATATTCGTCATCAATATTTTATCCAATACAATAAGGACCTTACAATTCTAGCGGATAGTTCCGAAGAGTATCACTTTTAAAAACCCTTTTAAAAAAAAGTTGAACCGACTTCAAACAACACCGACAAAGAGCACTAAAAATTAAAAAATAATTACAAATCTAAGTAAAACACTACAATAAGTACCCTCAATACATTGAGGCACCGACTTCAAACAGACTAGAAGGGACTATTGGTATTATAATGTTACATGTTACATTGAGGGTACTTATTATAGTTTTTTACTTAGATTTATAATTATTTTTTAATTTTTAGTGCTCATTGTCGGTGTTGTTTGAAGTCGGTTCAACTTTTTTTTTTAAAGGGTTTATTTTACCATTTTTAGTGTAGGATATGTTTGTAATGAGTAGATAAGTACGATATTTAAAACACTACGTACCGTAATGTATAGTAAAAAACTGTAGTTTGTTAGATTATATTAAATATTATATTAAATTGCTGCTGGACATAGGCACGGTACTATTATAATACAGTAGTGTAACTTGGCCGCATGATAGAAATAAATGCCTACAGCCGCGCGGTACGTAAACATGCGTTAGGGCTGCCCGTCTCCAGCATTTTAATTATATTTGCCTACTTTCTGTTTCTATTTAGATTTGTGATTGTAAATATCCTTTTTATATAAATAAATGAAATACTTTGTATATTGAATAGGAAGTGTTCAATAAAAATGCGTGTTGTTTTTTGATTGGTAGATTTAATTATTTTATTTTCTTTCTGCATTGGAGGAGTTTTTAGTGGTATATGTTGTTATAGTAGCAGCAGAAACACTTTGTGAAAATTTCGAAAACTATCTAATGACACACAGACGGTAAAAAAATTTTTCTAGTATTATTCATACACACAGATAATAAACAAATATTATTAAAAATAAAATACCACGTCTTTACTTTGAATTATGCAAAGTAACAAAACACACATGCACCGAAGTTTTAACACAAGCGTAAGTAGGTAGGTACCTACCGTATCATGATTCATTCAGAACCTCATATAACTACCTATTTCACTCGTCTCAATAACTTTCCGTTACTCTATTCGCTTTATTAATTAATCCAAACACCTTTTTTTTCGTAAGATGAAAGAAAATACTTATCCATATAAAAGACACACATTATGTACCTACCTACCAGTAAGTAAAATTATTTTATAGTCTTACCTTTCAGAGTTTCCAGGTAATTTAAAAAAACCTTATGTCTGGATGCGTTATTGACGAATTCATACAACCAAAAACAGCACAATATTTCCTACTCGTCATATTAACTGATTTTTAGAGGAAAAAAAATCGCGCGGTTGTTGTTAAAAAAAACAACACACCGTCCGTTCGACACTGCGGTACAGCCGTGACTGTCTGCGCCCCGAGCGCACCCCGAGATCGAGGCGCGTAGGTATAGCTCGCGTTTCGTCCGTTTGTATGAAGTTGGAGTACTGTATTATAATTGTACCGTGACATAGGCCTCTCCTTAGAAAGTTGACCCATACAAAATTTAAGAGTTTTTTCCAGAACTATTTTAATAAATTAAGTATAAAATTACTTACACACGAAATGCGATGCCATCCATAGCAACAAAACGTCTATCCGAATTATTTTAACAAGATAGAATACAAAATTTCAACCTTTTCTTCTTAATACAACGAAAATTACTGTGGTGACATAAATACTGCAAGTTCTCTGCGCATCACATCGCGCAGTCTCTGACGGTTGCCATGGTTTATTTGGCTAAAGAAATACTCGTAGCTAAAACACGTTGTCGGGGCTGTCAAATTCCCAATAATTGTGAGGGTTTCCCTCGATTTCTCTAGGATCCCATCATCAGATCCTGAATTGGTGGTAATGGGACCAATTCGGGCATACCCTTTCGATTACAAAAATAATTTTGAAAATCGGTCCACAATTGACGGAGAAATCCCGGAACAAACATACATAAAAAAAATACAGACGAATTGAGAACCTCCTCTTTTGTGTTTTTGAAGTCGGTTAAAAAGCAAAGAAACAAACAACAATATTATAAGTGTGTACGACTTTGCATTGCAAAAAAACAGTCTTTTTTTTTTTTAGTTGACGCTAACTTCTAAGATGTTTGACACTAGATTTGTGTTTGTTACGTAGAGGCAGATATGTCTTGGTTTTCTATTATCGTAGCAACAGAATCAGGTCTGTGTCGGATACCTGTGAATGGACTTGAGGAGAGTCTTACCCAGAATTAAGATAGGTGGTATGTGTGAGATCCTCTTTACTCGGCGTGCGAGTTAATGGCCTTGGAGGTGGTGCAGCAGGCGGGGGCCAGGCACCGGGCGCGCAGCAGTCGTCATCTGCCGCCGCAAGCCTGTACGGGTAGAGAGGCCTGGCTGCTCCTCCGCATCTGACCACCACACCACAGGCCGTGTACCGCGATCTATGATAACCAATACTGTATAGGATTATTCACCACTTACTAATGAGGAATACTCTGGATACATAATCTTTTAATTTAGGTATGCATTTTCAGGTCAGTTGCTTTTCTTAAATCAGTATTTATTCCATTCATCTGAAGGCCAATTTTTGTAATAAAAGTTCAGTCGCAATTTAATGCCGATCAACTCTCTTGTAATATAATTATATAGTATTGAAAACGAAAATTGGATCGGTAATCAGCTAGTCTTAGTAACACTTTACTATTTTATTACAAAAATATCTTTCATGACAATTGCCAGATCAAGAGTTGATCGAGACTAATTTGCAACCGAACTTTTATTTCGAGAATAGGCCTCCTGGTGTTAATCAAAACTGATCTACGCCCTTGCCTTTCCTTTAACTTGTTTTAATAAATTGGGTTAGGTGTTAAGGATTTATTTTACGCATTTTCAAATTTGACATAACATTTGCATAATATAAAATAGGGAGTAGTAATAAAAAAACACTCTCTTCTTTGAGAACTGAATACTTCTATAGGGAAAATGTTTAAATTAGTTTATGAATTCGACAGCAAATGTGCCTGAACTTTTCTCATATTCGGGTACAATTTGGCATAAATAAAAGCATTGGCATGTCTAAAAGCTCAAGCGACCTAGTGACTGAACGATTTTGAGGATTACTTACCCACATACTTGTACACATATATATATGTCAAAAGGTTTGTTATAATGCTTGGTAGCATAAGAGGATTAAAAATTAATTAGATACGTGATACCAAATTATTTAGGATGGATACATTATTTCATACTATAACCAAACCAAGTAACTTACTTTCATACAACTTCAGTAAACTTTCTCAATTTGTAATAAGGTACTTGAGGAGCCAATGAAGTTAAGTTGTTCATATATAAACAATTTTAAAGTGTAAGAAGTTGTTAATAACAAATATATTCTATTTGCATATGCAACAGTAAAATCAATTGTAACTTATTATTTATAAAAAACTTTTAAAAGCTTAAAATATAAATAAAATTAAATAACCTTCAGGGGTATCCCGTAGAGATCTCAAAAAGATGCTAATTCATAAAATAAGGCCGTAACAAAGCGGATTGGCGCCTGTGCCACGCTTTTATATATCTGAGCTACAGAATGTTCACAGCTTCTTTCATCACTTTAGCGTAATATTAAAGTTGAATAAAAGTGAGTTAAAGGGATTCTACAATCTACGAGTCTTCTTAAACTTTTAATTAATGTAGAATTGTTTCGATCGACGGCGGCGGCTTTATGAGTGGACCGACTGATCTTTGCTAACGTTAACTTAATAAAACCACTCCAATTCAAACGAGTTGAGACGAACTTGATGTGACTTTAATTGTAAAGTTTTCTGAAGTTTAGACAAACCCTTAGTACTTATACTCACCTTGTTGTATCAAACTTATATTGCGGTCGTTTCATAAAGAGTAACCGTGGCAGGATGTGTATGAAGACCCGCTTCACCCAGGGTGCCATCCGGTGTGTCTGCGGCGAACGGAAGTGGACATTTAGTACCACTACCGTTACACATATACTGTTAACAAACAATATACCGTTATTATTTAATGGTAAACATTGTTCGGTAATATTATAGTTTTTAGCAATCATACTTATTTTAACTTACCTATTAACTAGTTACCGAAACGTGGACCTACTTATTTAGTTTATATAAGTCAGTATATTCCAAAAAGATAATTAGTAGTCTCTAAAATAATTCTGTATAACAATAAATAAATCCTGACATTCTCGTTATCAGCAGAAAACGGCCTCATAGCCTTTTGAGATTATATATTTCTTACATTATTTAAGTATTTTGAGTGCATTTTAATTAGTAAGACAAACCTTTTGCAATACTTTCAAAAATTTAATAGAAAATAAAACTCCTATTGGAAAGATATTGCCCAATTATTTATTACAAAGTTGGTAGAGTGCTAAAAATTTAATTTTCTTGAAGCTAGAGCATCCAATCAAATATCTTGTTTTGAAACCAGCTTTTAATTTATATGGTAATAGGTGGGTTGGACGGCCTAACTCAGCAAAATTTGAATAAATTACTTTTATTCGTAAAGTATTAATGCAAAGCTTTGATTATATTCTCGTAAATTAAACTTTAATGTTAGAGTAAGGATAAAAATTAATAAAAATATCATGAGATTATTATTTAGCGGTAGTAAGGAAGGAAACAGTAAGTATTAGTTTATTATTCTCTAGAATACAAAACTATTATTCTAGTTTAAGGAATGGGCTACCGCACGTGTTGTTTAGTATAACCAAAATGTCGTCAACAGTTTAGGCAAAATACTTATGTATTCTTTTTGTTGTAAGAATTTCTTTAAACTGTTTAGGGAAAGATATCAACTAAGTCAATAGCCTTAAGATTGACCTTAAAGGTCAGAAATGCCAAGTAAAATAAGCTTAGTGTCTGTGTAGTAGTTATATAAACTGGTTTAATTTTAGCAACATAAGCATTAATGTTGTTGCCAATGCACTAGGTCGAAACAAATTCGTTTTATCTTAGGACATCAATTATAATTTGGCAATGTTCTAACAGTAAGCAAACAAAAAATCCTTAACTACAGTACTTAAATACTTAAACGGTGACTGATAAGCTTTTTATGGAACAAAAGATACGGACGGTCCCCATATGTGGATAAAATGTGGTTGTTTAAAGTAATAAGTCCCTCAACGATATTAAAAGGGGTTGGACCTTTCATCAGACAAAATAAAATATATCTTTCTAACGGGTTCACCTGTTAATGAGTAATAAGCCAAGCGAAAATACGTGTCGATCTTCCTTTTCCGACGAGGATCAAAAGGGCCTAATGGGAATTGAATTATATACATCAATTTGCGGCATTATTGCCGTCAAGTAAACTGGAGTCAACCTTTGTATCTATGAGTCCTTGTGTGTTCAAAGAACTTGATGTAGTGTTACTATAGTACATAGGGAGACAGTAGGCAGTAAATATTATTAAATAAAAAATACGTATCATAATTGCGAACTTAGCTTTTTAAATAAATAAAAGCGGTGTACTGCTGGTCCAAATTCTATTTAATTATAAAAAAAGCAAGAAAGGAATCTGTCCTATGTACTCAATAGATGATCTATTGCGTACATAGGACAGAAAATCGATTGCTATTCGCGGAGTAACAATTTAAACATAAATTAGAATTTTTGTAGGCAAATGATGGTAGTCGTGCACCAAAAAGATGGGCCAACCAAGTGCGAGATTCATCCTCCCCCAACTTCTGGACAGGAGCCGGTGGAGGTAGATCATCCGCTTCAGTTGCAACCCTTGTGCTGATCACGATCCCCGGACGTGATGGACCGACCCCAGAGAGATTAATTGAGCACTTCTTTATAAAATAGACTTTAAAAGTTGTGAAACTAAAACTAAACAAGTACTGTTTTAATATTATACTTTCTTCAACACATAAATTTGTCCTAAAATTACTCGGGAATTACACAAACCACAATTTACGAAAAGGTGGTACAATTAGGCTGACATTTATGTGTAACACAGACAATATTAGTTCAGTTTGATTTGATACATTTTTAATTTATAAATCCGACATTTTCACATTCACAAAGGTTACTAGAAGACATTACTTTTACACTATTTTATATTTAAAAACATATATATATTACCTTATCGACACGAGGATCATAGCGAATATAAGATATTTTCCCAGAAGAGGCACAACCAGTGAAGTAGGGGGGATAATCTCCACCACCAGAAGGAAGAATACGTGGAGACTAATCAGAATTGATATCGACAGCGTCACCTGATGATAAAACAAGGATTTTACAAAAAGTATTAGTTTCACTTAAGTATTTTCATTGCTCTGGGTATTTCTATGTGTAATATGCATAAATTATACAAGCTAGAACATACAAGAAATTATGCAGATTAAAGAAACCTAATCCGAGAACCGAAATATGCATATGTTTGTATGCATTGAAATTTTGTGTAATTATTATATAATACATAACTCCATCAGCCACGCCAGGCACTGGCGTACTACTTAATATACTACAGAAGATTTGATTGAATTTTTTGTATCGAACTATCAACATAGCATTAGAGTGACATTTTATGGTCTGGTTTTTTCTTAAGGAAAATGTATAATAGAACTTCTAGTAAAAAATCATCATTATCAACAGTTTAAAAGTCCACTGCTAGACATAGGTCTCTCCTCAGAAAGGCAACGCTGGCCAGACCAGTTTGCTTTGGGATAGGGTTTGTTTCAAGTTTTCCTTCTCTTTGCAGACTTTCTGTTGTCCTGCGTAATTTGCTCCCTTAGTCGGCTCTTACGGCACCCATGGGATGAATGGGAGTGGTGACACTCCGTGTTCTTATTCCATCACCACACGAACAATTAATTATAATAATAGATATATAGTATGCATGGTCTGGAAAAACAGGTTTTACAAGGATATGTTATGCAATTCAGAGTTTTAACCTCACTAAAAATTATATTTTTAACTAACATCTTTTTTTTCTTGTTTTTAAAAACAACTCCCACATTAAGGAATATATCCTGTGTTGCGTGAGACTTTACAAACATAGATGAAACGGACACAAAGAACACCCAGACTCAGAACAACAATTTGTGGATTGCACAAAGTGTCGTCCCGTGTGGGGATCGGACCCACAACACTCAGTGCAGTAGTATGCGGCGTGGCAACCGCTTCAACCACTACGCCACCCATGCAGTCAATCAAGTGAAGTTTATATATTTTTACTCTTTTCTGAAAATATAAAAGTAGCTATTAATTTTATACAAAAAGTAAGAATATTTCATTAGTAAATCGTGAAGATTCTTAATTACTGCGCTAAAACGGAAAGAAATATTCCAAATTTATTTATTTAAGGTAATAAAGCCTCAATGAGAAAATTCTGTATACTTAACGTTATTCATTTATTTTTATTTATTTATTTATGTAAGGATCTCCAACAAAGGATGTAAACAAAATATAGAACTCATGTAGAACACAAAATATAGATTTCACACTGGTATTTGTTGTGTTAAGTACTCCTTCAATTACAGTACACCACAGCATGTACATTTATAACTAAGTTAATAATAATTTTATGATACAATAGAGAATAAAACATAAAAGTGCTCAGTGGTTACAATAAATTATAAGTGAAATAAAATTACGAAAAAAACAAAGAAAAAATAACACACCTATAAAATTTGAAACACAAACAATAACCAATACTCATGTCCATGAATATTTTTTTAATTTGTTATGGCTAGCGCAGAGATGTTTCCCATAATTTCGTAAAATATATATTTTGAGAAAGATAGATTATGGTAAAGTTACATTTTGGTTCAAAAGCTTATCGTTTCATCATTATTAAGTTTAGACATAGTTGGATTCGGACAAATCTCGAAATATAGACATTTTATCAAGTAGAAATGTGAATAAAATATATGAAGGAGATTTATTGGGTATACTACACAAATACGAAAAACTTTATTCCGTCAGTCACAAATACGGATTTCAAAATACCGATTTTCACAATTCCTAATGGTTCAAAATTCTTAATATAACAACTCCGATTGATCATTCATTCTATTTTTATAATTCAAAAATTTCAATATTCATAATAACGTTTATAATTACTATGCTCAAAATACCGAGTTTAAATAGACCGAATAACAAAAAGTCAGACTTAATGTTAATTTTCTTTCTATTTTCTTTCGAATAAAAATATTTTCTTTCGCTGGTCACAGTTCTAACTTAACTTTACCAGAATGATTCACCAACAATATATATAGTAGATAATAATATAGGGGATCAGGCACTTGGCAGTTATTTTAATATACATAACCAATTTTCGGTTCCCTTATTCCTAAAGTACTTAGTAAATGGTAACAGTCTCGCCAACGGTTAAATAAGTTACTTGCCTGGGGAGTCATTGCTGCAATAGTTTTAACTTTTTTAGTTACTGAAAAGTAATTTTTTTATTTAAAAACTAATGCACATGTTGTACAAAGACGGATTTAATGCCAGGCATTCACTCCCAGTCAACCTTCAGGTGATGTAGAAATATGATGAGGTAGGTGCAAAATAAAATATTAAATTGGACATAATAGAGTTCCAGAAGTATACACAATATTTAAACACATATATATACATAAACACAAAAACAGAAATATAATATAAATAATACTCAGTCGGGTACTAGCGTTGAGACTGTTCTGCCAATTCATTCCGAAGAAGATCGCGCACTTTTACCTTGAATGCAAGGCGGTTTGTTGACACCTTGACTTCGGCAGGAAGCGCATTCCAAAGAAGAACTGACTGGACGTAGAAGGTGGAGTTAATGAAGTAGGAAGATGAAGAATGTGTAAGATATAAGGTAAAATGACTTGTGCATTTCTCGAGACAGCTTTTCAGCATCGGTATTTTATACCTTTGTCGACTATATTTTTTTTTTAAGATTTCATCAGTTTTATGCAACAAAATCCACAAACGTCCTAAGTGTGCTAATGTGCACTATTGGACTGTAGTATCATGTTCTTATTGCATAGTAATTAATTATATAAACGTTAAATCTATATTGATCAAATTTTGCTTTGCAAAGAGGATGAATATTGACAACTGTGTAAATATTAAAAAACCAGAACCAATCTAGTCATCGTCCTCAACCAATAGAATTTAAATTAGCTTAATACGTACCCCAGAACAAATTGTATTAAATTTCGTATTCATGTCGCAAACTATGTACTTATAGAACATTACACATGTTTATTAATATTAGTTGTTAACATAGAGCTCTCCATACTAAGAATTCTCTTCATGTACATATGTTGATATGGTATGGAGCAAGTGATTAAACAGATCACAATTTATAAAGTATGGATGAATAACGCCAAGTCAAAGCGGGCTATTTGCTGATGGAGAGGATGTAAAATCTGTAAAACTTAGGCTGGTAAAACCAGGCTTTATAGCAAATGGTTTTATGGCCCTTTTGCCATAAAGCCATTTGCCATGAAGTCTGTTTTTCTATGCAGAAAGGCCTTTCTATGGGCGCTGCTACTCCGTTGAAAACAAAACCTCTCCCATTTAGTGCTGAAATAGTACATTGTCATTGTAAAGGGCGTGGGAACCATAATATACCGCTAGAGAAGAAAAGGTAATATACGAAATTATAGACACGAACAATAATTCAGTCATGGGATTGGCAGATGAGATTAGACAAACTTGTCGGGACATCCGACTCTTTGTAGAAGTACGCACGACGCAGGTCTCGGTATCTGGTTAAAGGCTTCCAAATTAACAAAGCAAATGTAGAGATTACGATGTTGTTTGTTGTTGTGGCACAAAGATTGCGTCAACTGCAGCTCAATCCACAATGTGCCTAATATACTCCCAGAGTCATAAAGTTATCTCAAGTAAGACGAGGGTGGGTAACGTGGGTGGATCTAAAATGGATGAATGATTAAACCTATCTTAAGTACCGATATGAATTCATATTGTAAAATAGTTTTTGTTACCAATTTTATATAATAAATAGTTTATATTATATATTAGCTGACCTGTGCAACTTGGTTAGCGTCTCTCAAAAGGAATGAGTTTGCCCATTTTTGCACATTTTTCATTGATGCTCCGCTTCTACAAGTCTTATCGTAATGTCATATAGTCTTCCTCTATAAATGGGCTACCTAAAACTAAAATAATTATTCCATTCGAACTAGGCATGGGATAAAATCTGTGAACTTTGAAAGACCGGTGATTTATCATTCGATTTTTCGTACGTAGGTAAGGGCTACTACATACTCACGCGTTGTTTCCAATAAGCTTATTAATAAAGCAATGTTTTCAGACGATGCATGAAGACCTTATTTCGCCTATTTAACAGTAAATCTACTAATTATTTTATTATATATAGCTACCATTCCCTACATAATGATAAAAAAATACTAGATTTACTGTAAAATAGCGTCTAACCTTCCTACACAGACCAGTAATGCTTATTGTGTATCAGGCTTGGCACCGACAAACAGACTAGAAGGGTAGAAGGGACTATTGCTACTATAATGTTACCTGTTATATTGAGGGTACTTATTATAGGTATTTTTACTTAGATTTGTAATTATTTTTTAATTTAATGGTCTTTGTCAGTATTGTTTGAAGTCGGTTCAACTTTTTTAAAACGATTTATCTTCGTTTAAACTTAAATGTTACCAAATGTTCTCTCTTCTCAAGTAAAACTCAAATGCAATTTCTTCCTCCTCATTTCTTGTTTTCATTTTTCTCTTTATATCTCCAGCTCTAATTGAGGTATGGTATAAGGATTCGCTGTTACGAGTTCTCCGCTTTAAGTTTCCGTCCACGGAAATTGGTTGAGTTGGGGGAAGTTAGGTGTGAACCTTCACTTTAATTTGAATGTAACAAAGCAGCTCGGGTCTTCCTTGCATTTTAATAAAACACGTTTACAATATTTTTCCTAAAATGTGTAGGACATCATTTTAAAGCCAGATCAATTTATTTATTCCGGTAATTTTCATTATATTGTCTACTCGTAACAGTTTTTTTGCTGTCTGGATGTTTTAATAATTTTATATTAACCATTTTGTCTATAACATGTGCACATAGATTGAAGAGTATTTAATGATTGTATTGCTGCAAATAATTGTGAGTTAAAATCTTCTATTAGCAGAGATCGAGATGCGCGATTATATCCAGACCGTTCATTGTCAAGTTTTATACGTAAGTAAATAAGCTCGAAACAACCTTTGCATATAATTCAATTTAACTCGCTGTCATG